CAAAAAAAAAAAAAAAAAAAAAACATAATCGCGAGTAATTATGAGAACTAGGTCGGGACGAAACAAATGGGGCGATGTCTCGGAAGAAATACACGAGGCTTTATTTCGTGTCTATCATCTGATCGCGTCTGGTACAAATACTGCGAACAGTGAAAGGAGATTCTCCACGCGATGCTCACCAAGAAAGCAGCTCGTACTTTATTTCGACCAAACGAATTTTTTGATAGATTCACGGATGTGTTTTATTCTAAAGAAAAATACAATCACAAACAATTATAATCACACGTAATCTAATAAAAAATTTTAATTTTTGTGCTAAATTTTGTAATATCCAAAGATCTTTTTCTTACATACTTTTACTCGCTTTCGAATCCTTTCACCGAAGCACATGCTGGCAAATCATTTGGTTTCTAATTGTCAAATAAAACACCGGACCAAACTTGCAAACGCTAAAGACGGTCAATCACTGTCCGCCTACTTCATTGCAATTATTGTATCTAAGCAAGATGCTGCGGCAAGATGCACTCGGCACAATAATAGCAATCAATTAATAACGAGACGTAAAGCAAGAGCTGTCATTACGACCTTTCGACACGTAATATCAGAATGTGAGACGACTATTTATTAATCTGATCACTTGCACAATGCCGTTTGTTTCTTGATACATACAATGTCACTTATTTATCGCACATATGTGCAGTAACTTCAATATATCTTTGTGTTGTATGTTCTATATAAAAAAAAAAGTGCGTTATATTATTTTATCAGCGTAAACGAGAAAGTGTTGCCCAACACTTGGAAAAGAACTTTCTTGCGGTATTTTGCGGCTGAGTTTTTTTGTTTGTTTGACGAATTTTCACGTTTCGTGCGCTTCCTAACCGCCGTGTTTCGCACGCTCTCCGGTCGAATTTCACGCGATTACGTACGCGGAATATCAATCCGAATTCACGTAATTTGTCTGCGAATTGAATTGACTTTTCCGCAAGAAACCAATCAGCAACAAATTGTCATGTCACTTAGTCAATGAGCCATGATCCATTCAACCATCATAAAAAGCAATTTCTCCGATCTTTTTGATTCCGTAAGACTTTATTTTCATATCGTAAAAAAATACAATAAATAAAATATTTTTTTATATAATAAAAATATACAGCTGTCTAAATGTAACTTATATCATTGGAGAGCACTGAACACGCGACTGATTTCCATTAAAGCCAACCAATTAATTTTTACGATTCGAGATTGCCGAATATGTAGAGACCGGTTTATACCAGATTATATCCGCGAGTCGCATACAGAGTGTTCGAAATGATCAGAAAAGACTCCGAGAGAATCACCGATTAAATACCGTCTTATCTAATCTTTATGTGAAACAAAAGATACTTTTTTGTCGTTAATAAACTATAAAAGTTGCGCGAATATCTGTCAGTGATTTCAAAAATACCGCCAATTAATGTAATTTCACGACAAACGACGGTGAATGAAGCGCGGCCGTAATTAATCTCAAAGTACATGGTGTTTATTAAAGAGTTCAAGGTGGTGAAAATCCATTTAAGTCGCAGCTTATTATTGTTGCCATTCTGACACACATAAAGTACTGGAGTTTCGATAAAATTGAAATATATCTCCTGAAAAGATGTAACTTCAACGAAATTTTTATAAACTTCGTATAAAAATATAGAAGTTACGAAATTGCGAATGGAATCCGCGTTAGTAGAACATTCACTTTGCGCGAAATATGCGGAAATTGACAAAGTTAATTAACTGCTTCAATTAAAGTTCGTACATAATTCGCTAATTTCGCGGTAACCTTTCGTAGTCATCGTATAATTACTGCAACAATTTTACAAGACAACAAAAATTTTTCGCGACTTCTCCACGAGCATTTTAATTCATTCAATATAATACTCTCTTGTATTCACAAGCAAATTTTGCACCAATAAGATATACAAAACGTTCCGCGTAAGTTTACACGAGTGTCGTGATTGTATAAGACAATATCATCGCGGCGAGGTTTGTAGTATTTGCATCGTGACACTTTCGGCGCGAGATAAAAAGAGAAATCGAATGTATTGAAATGTTGCAGATTCGTGATAACGCGGATACGATCCGCGATAACCGGGCTGTTGCTACTCTCGGTGACAGCGCACTGTGACGGTCTACAATATCAAGCTCTCGACTCTTATGTAAACGGGGAGGAGTGCGCCTTGATCCTGGACTCGCGTGGAAGAACCAGCGTTTACGACTACACCTATAATTTACTTCGTGGATCGTTGTAAGTATCTGCGGAGCAAGACCGCGTACGAATCCACGCAACGATAGCGATCTTAATTTATATAGGGAAAGCCAAACGCGAAAGAGGCGTTTCCTCGAAGTGACTGAAGTAAGTTGAAATAAACACTTTTGTGAATTTCCACACGGTCTGTTAAATAAGTCATAATTTTTAAATCACCACGGATAAGAGTTGTTTCTTAAAAAGCGCGAATAGAGAATTAGAATTAATGTCGTCTAAAAATGTTGAATTATTATTAAATTATATTTTACATGGTCACACCTCATAAGCGCAATGTTACTTTTATTGCATTTTTGTTTGCAAGAATTGCTAGTTGCGAATAATCACGTTTTATCGATGCCAGACATCTATACAAAGATAAATTATACATAACAAACTAGAAAATAAACAATTATCACCTCATTATGCGTTTACCAACTGCATCGAAGTGCACATTATTAGTTTATGTAATAAAGTGTGTCCCGACAATCAAGAGGTTAGAGAAAGCAGGAACTTTATTCGCGCAGGACTTTCACTATCATCCTGTTCCCGCAGGATTGGCGACCTCAAGTTCGACCTTACTAGTTCTTAAACGTACAGCCACGTACCTACGTACATTCTAGACAGATCATTTGGCGTGAAACGTTTCGCGTGTCTAAGATCGACTAGAGATAAAACCGTATCGCTTTGTGACGATCGTAAAATTCGCTATCTCGAACGTTGGACTTTTAAAAGCGGTCATTGCCAGACAGGACCGCGTTTATGGTGCTGAGCCGTAAAAGATCCTCGTGTAACTGTTACGTATCGCAATAAACCTCGTTCTGTTCTATTCATCGAACAAAGAAAATTATGTGCACAAACTCACAGAATTAAGACAAAAACTTTTTTGCGTGAATTTTTTTATTTCTAATCAATTTTAAAAAGCAAGTATTAATTTTAATAGTTTTTTTTTTTTTTTTTGAAGTTTAACACGATTTTTGTGGCAAAATTTCTTGAGAACGCTAATCGCTTTCCGTGTTCGAGAGCACGCACGATTGTTGCGCCTGACTCGCGATTAAACACGTACACAAAGGAATCTTACCACCGCTAATTGAGCCTACTAAACGCACCGCTAATGAGAATCGCGCGTTACGATAAAATCGCTTTGAAGTAGATTGCCAAAGATGCGATGGCCGAAACGTGGAGGAAGCGACCTCGTCGACAAGGAGAGAATCAATTGCAGAATTTTACACGCTGAGTATATATAAAACTTGACGCGGAGCTGCATCAGACTGCCGCACAAAGAAATTATCTCATTATAGTTAAAAAGCAGCCGCGCCAATACAGACAGACAGGCAGTCAGAAAGTCAAAAAGTCAGAATGTCAGAATGTCAGAATGTCAGAAAGTCAGTTATATCAGTTATGTCAGGAAGTGTTGCCAGCGCAAAAAACATTTTTTTATTTGTTTTTTTTTATTTTTTTCTTGGATTAAGTTTTTATCATAACTTTATTATAAATTGAAAGTGTATAGATTGTAGTTATTTTGTGCCTGTGTTTCAATACAGTTTACTAAAAAAAAGTTATATCGAAGATGTTGTCCGGCGCGAATAACGCGAACCGCTACCGTGCTTCGTCATTTCTCTCTCTAACTCACACTTCTTGTCTTTCTTTCTTTTTCGTCTTAAAACGCGCTCATATATGTATGCCATTTGGCAGCAGGCATACGAACATGCACACAATTTGGTCGCACGACGTTTCTGAATTGTAAATTTTTCACTTCGAAACTTTATCGCGTCATATATATGTTGAAAAATCAGAAACAAATAACAAAATCGCAAGAATACTTTTTTTTTTTTTATTTTTTCAACGTGAATCAAACGAGGCTAAAAAGAAGTCGATCGGTTCAGTCGTTATTAAAAAATGGCTGATTAAAAATTTCCCCTTCATTGAAATGTCTGATTTTCGCGTATAAGCACAGTGTGCTCGCGCAGTTCGAGCGCCACTTTGTTGCGCGTGGACTTGGCGCGAGGCACTACCGTGCCTTTTGATCAATGTCCTTAAGTCTACACGGATTATTGGCAACCGGGAATGTCCAACGCAGTAACGCGTGTTGCGTTATTAAGAACTCAATCCTTGTCACAGTGTTGCGCCATTACAAACTCAATCCTCGTCACAACAGCGTATTAAGAATATATTTGTTTTGAGTAATCATAAGTGCAAGGTTTACTTTCAAACACTTTGGCTGAGAGTCTTTGATATAAAACTAATTTGTTTGATATAAAACTAATTGTTTTTCTAATAAATAATAATAAGAGAACAATGGGAATTAATTTCAAAAATTAGAATAAAAATTCAAAATGTTTATAAAGGGAAATTATTAATTACTTAGTAATCATAAAATTAAACGTAATCGGGCATAGGCACGCAAGTCGCGTGATTTAATCTGTGTCGACCGTTTAGGTAGTCGGCGTTGTAAAGCCGTTCGATTAGCGATGTCACGCATCTACTTCTAGTAGAGGCAGTTGGAATGTCAAACAGGTGCCTGGGGACATGACATAACGAGATATAGCCGAGTTTGCAATTGCACCGCGAAACGATATACACACGGCCAATCTATAAGAGATCGGGATTTTGCTCGTGTTGTCGGCTGTGAAAGTGATAATGTTTCGAAAGGATATCGTAAAAAAAAAAAAAAAGAGTGAACAAGAACGAATTTACGATGCGTGAAAATAATATGCCCTTTGCAACCGTTGAAAGTGTCGCAACGCGACAGTAAAAGGGCGAATTATTCCCAAACGTCACGAAGAAGCATCGCGTGCCGTGATCGCGAAACGATTATTAAACGCGCCGTGTTAAAGTACAATGTAAGATGCAATTTACGCTCGTAAAAACAAAATTATAAAAGACGGTTTCCTTAGCATTCGCTTCGTGTTGCTATCAGTCGACGTCGTCGTTCCGACCAGTTATGGTAAGTGCGTCGATGCACGACATCATTATAGAGAACGCCATCGTTATTATTACGTCAACTGTAACGTCGGAGGCACTCGACCGTTATTAGACACGGGAAGCGTGTCTCTCTCATCTCTCATCTCCCGACACTTTGCATCCTAAGCACTTTAATTGATTTATTATTTATATCAAGTGCTTGCGGCACTTTTTAGCAACACTTCTGTCAGCCGTTCGCTATTTCGCGACTCGTTATTCTTACATAGGTCAAACAGGTTGAGATCTTGTTATGCTAAATAATACGTTCGGGTGAATGTGAACTCGAGGCTTAATTGTACATTTATATTTATATCCAGTTTTGAAAGTGTACTAGTTTACATTGTCACATGAACGTCGATCAGCGAGGTGTCGGATCGAAAAATTGATATTGAAAATATTGAGGTTTTCACAAGTCATTGACACCGTCGCGCAAGAAAAAAAAATCAAAAGCGGAAAGAGAGGCTATAATATGCAATATGGAGAAACGCGCGAAACCGGTCGCGGTCTTCGTCAACACCGAGCGGCACGTCTCGTGGTGTATTTCACGGCGGAAACAGGATATGAAAGTCAATTCGCCCGCCTTCGCAGAAGATCACGTCTAGAATAGTTTCGAATTACCTTGATACGAAATATCCGCGCGCGCATGGATGCTCGTCCGTGTGTCTGTCTCTCTCTCCGCGAACAAATCCGCGTCTCGCGCGCAAGGCTCCCAAGTCAGGCTTCTGACGAAAGTAGGCTACGTTAGGTAATTAACCCGTTGGCGCGAGAAAGAAGAGAGAAAAGAAAGAAAAGAGGACTGTAAATAATACTCGCACTCAAAGAGATTGCAAGCGTGCGTTAACTTTCATCCTTGTTTTTTTGTTGCTACCCGCAGTCCCACCGGAGGAGCTCAAACCTGCATCACGTACGACGCGGTAAATCATGCCTACGCCGAAGCGAGAAAGCGCATCAGTGAGTGTATCAAATTTCATTAAAAACTAATTAATTATACGCGCCGATTGGTGCAATTTATCGTTCACGATAATTTAATATGACGTGATGATCGCGTAATCGATACGAATTTATTACGAATTGATCTCGCCGCGTATTTTCCATTGCTGATATGTTTACTTCATCCTTTCCTATTACCGTTTCTCTCTCACACACATTGTTTTCTAGACGTCGCGAGGCCAAAGTCGGAGATGTGGCGACCGGAGGACTTGGCCACAGTCGGCGAGCTGCTTCTCGATATCAGCTCGAATCTCGCGCACACGTAAGTCTATAAACTCTACGCATCTCTCCGACGGAGATTCTTCTCGGATCTCCGATCGCGTTTTCATCGTCTTTATTTTTTATTTTACTTTCTGATCGTCGATGCTCAGGTACGGACTAAGTTTTGAGGAAATCGAGAAGAGTTTGCCGCTAATCGACACTTCGAAAACGTTAATTCGCGAGATCTGTCCCGCTTTTCTCAGCAACGTGGAATGTCGACCGGGCAAATATCGAAGATACGACGGTCTCTGCACGAACTTGGAGAATCCAACATGGGGATCCACTCTGTCGCCTTTCGCGAGGTAACGTTTCTTCGAAATTTTTTCAATTTTCCAAAAACCAATTGCGCGTTTTGTTATTTTTCAACTTTTGTTTCAGGTTGATGAATCCTCGATTCGCAGACGGCCTCTCCGCGCCAAGGATATCTATATCAGGTCACGATCTACCGCTGTCTCGAGTCGTGTCGCGCACCATGCACCCGGACGAGGGTTACCACGATCACGCCGGTACAGTTATGATAATCGCGTGGGGACAATTCATGGACCACGATTACACTCTGACCGCCACGCCTCTAGGTACTTTACATTCCAAAACATAATTCTCTCCACGCGCCGCGGAGAGATCGCGGGTGTTGAAATCACCGACGCGCGGATGTTTCGCGGTAATTTCAACGTCTCGTCGATTTCTCCTTGCTTCAACGAACGTACGAAAGTTTTAAACTATAGTTTATGTAACTAGCTGTATATATTTTACATTTTATTTCACTATTGTTTTTTAAAACATAAGAAAACAGTTTTTAAAGAGATAAAAACTATTATGTAAGAACTTACAGCCAACCGTGATACGTAATGAATTTCAGAGAAAGGAACAACAAAAAAAGCTTGAACGGTATCGCTTCATCTATCGCGCCGTGTCTTGTTGTAACAATTAAAAGTTCCCGATTCAATCATGCAACTAGAATTGCGTCAAAGCAACGATATCGAGATGTTTCATTTAATGCACTTATCGCAGGTCGTTCTCGGAATCGAAGCCTTTTCATGTCAAAACCCTTTACCCGAATAAACCAATCACGTGTCACATCTGGCGACGTTTCCGAGAGCGGTGCTCTCCGATTGCGCGAATGTGTCAACCAGACTTGGCAACCTTCTAATCTGCCAGGAGACATAACTGTGCGGACACACGTATTCTATTGCCAATTATCGAACTCTTTCTCGGAAAAGCGGAGAATAATTTAGAAATCCCGCAATCTTGCTTTATACATCCCGCGGGCGTTTCCACGGGTGTTTCCTATAGGAAAGGATAATTAATCGACGATTTTCCTTCGTTTGGCTTGACCGCGTTTTATTGCGACATCCGAGAAAAAATAGTGGACACTTGCAATGTCCCGTGCAATCGCGAGATCCGAGATTTATCCCGCGCGCGGAATATGAAGAATACGTGATTGAAAGGTGTTTCCTGTCGCGCTTCGCTATCATTACGTATCGATCATCACGTTCGCAGATCCCTTGAACCGAAACGACCCGGAAGAGTGCTGTACCCGACCGCCGCACCTAAAGAATCCTTACTGCAACGAGATCCTCGTACCGGACGACGACTATTTCTACCGATTGTTCAACGTACGTTGCATGGACTTCGTTCGCGCTTTTCCCGCCGTTCGACCTGGTTGCCGTCTCGGTTCCCGAGTGCCTTTCAATCTTCTTACAGGTGTACTGGACGGTAACACCGTTTACGGCATCACGGAAACTTTTGCTAGGTAAACTACGACGATTTGCTAACTCGAGTAATATTCTCTCTTTACGACGTTATCTTTGCGATGTAATTTTACCTCACGCGCCTTTTTTAAGGAAACTCCGAACGGGCTACGGCGGATTATTGCGAATGAATCCAGTCTTTTCCGAGTACGGCCTCAAAGATTTGTTACCGCTAAAGTTGGATATACCGGACGAAGGATGCACTCGACCAAATCGAACCATGTACTGCTTCGAAGCTGGTAACTTTATCATATAGTTATTATATATAAAACATTATCCGCGCACGTTGTTTCGAATAAATTAGATACATTGAATTTTTCAGACTGCGTGCACAAAAATTAATACAAAGTTTCTTGTACAATAATCTATGTTCAATAATTCTTAGTAATTTTTTTAATACGCAATCAAGTACATCGAGTGGGGTATTGCAGTCGTGACGAATCAATCACTCCGGCATTGCTAATAGCAGACCGTCTTTTGCAAAGCGGCAAACGTAGCTATTTAGAACGCAATACAGAGCGCGGTTTTATTATTAGTCCGATTGTACTCTGCGTTTGAATTCGCAGTGAGAGTCATTCGACGCATGAGTCAGCTCGAATGCAATTTGCTATTTCTAATTTCTGTCGACTTTTTTGCGTCTGACGATACGAAACAATAAAGGCAGTCATGCTCGTTACTACCTTCTCGTGACGTCGTTTACCAATCGATTTTTTTTTTTTTTTCGAGATGTGATTGACGGGAACGACTGTCTCGCGCGATTTCGCGTAAGTAGCACTCGCTAGTGTTGTTCGCCCACTCAGACATCGTTTTCCCACGTCGATTCGTCGATCACCCGAAAAACCTTGCCGTCGGCGTACGTACAATAATGAATTCGGTCGGTGAGACAAAACAGCGCCGATAATTGTGCGCACTTATCGCGCATACAACAATCTCCGATTACATAAATCACATAAATACCCGAACCGGGAAATATAAACGCCAACCCGTGTGCCATAAATCTCACCCACGTTATCTCGCCCAAGCGAGCATTCGGCGCGCGCGGCGTCGTCTTCCGTACTCTGTGTTTACGTTAATCGCCCGTTGCGGCAAAATTCAATCGTTGCCGCGCAAAATTGGCTGCCGCGTTATTCAACTTTTTCGAAATTTCGCACATTGCGAGAAGTCAGAGCTTCGCCTTTGCTATCACCAGCAGACAAACACAACCCGTGCGAGTATCGTGTGATTATCAGCGCGCCTAGCAATATACAACGTGGGTGAGAAAGGGAGTGGTTGTGTGACGCAAGGACGTCGACTTGTACGAAGCAGCGTAAGAATATTAGAAAAGTCGCGATACCTGTTATTTTACCGAGACATTCAAATCTGTTCTACACAATCTGACTTTGTTCGTCACACGGGAAAAAGATGGATAAGATCAATAAAGAATGGAAATTTCTCGTTTCCACCTTTATTGTAACACAAAAATGCGACGGTGTACGCTTCAATAATATAGTCATTAGACTTGGAAATTTTATCTTTCGATCATCTTTAGTTAAATTGTCCGACTAATTAAAAAGTTAGTGCAACTCCGACTAATAGATCGATAAAACGGTATGCTGGGGATAGAAAAAAAAATCTACGTAATTTATGTGTTTATCGCAGAGCGAAGAATGTCGTTAGAATGTGAAATGCATTGTGCGCGGCGGCGAAACTAAAGAAATTATTCAGTTCTCTGTGAAACTATCGAACACCTTCGATCGTGAAAGAGAATATGATCAACTTTTTGAAATTCCAAACAAAATTGACATTATATCGGTCGTCGTTGCTTTCAGGCGAGATTCGCGTGAACGAACAGCTGGTGCTCACTTGCATGCACACGCTGCTAGCGCGAGAGCATAATCGGATCGCCAAAGAGTTGATCGTCTTGAATCCACACTGGGACGACGAGATTCTCTTCCAAGAAACTAGACGCATTGTCATCGCGGAAATTCAACATATCACCTACAACGAGTTTCTGCCGATATTACTCGGCAAAGACGTCATGGAGAAATTTGGACTTCTTCTCGAGAAGGAGGTGAGCAACTTTGATGAGATGTTCGAACACGAACGTTTTTGCGCAAAAAAATAACAATAATAATAATAATTTGCGATACGCATAAATTACACGAAAAGACGCAATTTATCACGATGTATAAATGAAAATTATTCTACCGGATCTCGTTAAGCTGAAATGAGCGCGTGGTTGTTGACTGAAATATAACGACGTGTCATATATCTTCTGTTTATTTTTTTATGCCGTTTCGACAGGCATTGATAATCGGGGGGTATAATAACGTCGACGTTAAAATATTAATTTACCGTAGAATTACTGGGATGGACACGATCCGAGCATAAATCCAGGCGTAATTGACGCCTTTGCTGCTGCCGCTTTTAGATTCGGCCACTCGCTATTGCCCACGGCTGTGGAACGGTGGAGCAAAGCGCACAAATTTATTGGTAAGCGATGTGACGCAACAAAAGTACATACATTGCGCACGTAGTAGAGTAGAAGTGTTTCTCTCTGTAATTAATTTTTTAACAACTTCGAAAATTTACTTTTTAACTATTCTAAAAAAGCTTCGAAGAGACTGTCAGACTTGATTAGACGACCTTACGATCTCTATCGCGCTGGTGTGTTCGACGAGTACCTCATGGGCTTGATGAATCAAGTTGCCCAAGCTATGGATGATTCCATAACGCAAGAAGTAAGACAGCAACGTAGCACAAAAATTAAATAAACACGAACTGTACACTACATGAATTATTCTTTACAGGTGACGAATCACCTGTTTAAGAAAGCGGGAGCGAAATACGGACTGGACTTGGTGTCTTTCAATATGCAACGCGGTCGTGAATTCGGTATTCCAAGTTACATGGAATTCAGGTGAGTAAATCGATCGTTAATCAAAACTGTTCGAACATTAACATCCTATAATTTTCATAAACAGAAAATACTGCGGTCTTCCGGAAGCAAATACTTTTGACGAACTGTTCGGTTCTATGCCAAACGAGACTGTCAGGCGTTACAGCACTATCTTCGAGTAAGTATTGCGAGTTCGCGGCGATAAAAAAACCTTGAGCGCGTCGAAAGGGCGATCGATTAAATTTCGTGTCTTATTATTAAGTCGGAATCCGGTCGCGAATTATAGTAAATATAGCGCATTCGGAAGTAACGGCTTTATCTTGATCTGCTTCTTTATTTTTTCAGACATCCAGCGGACGTCGATTTATGGTCGGGCGGTGTGTCCGAGAGACCGCTTCCGGGCAGCATGCTCGGGCCAACCTTCGCATGTTTGATCGCCACGCAGTTCAGTCACTCGCGTCGCGGCGACAGATTCTGGTACGAGCTGCCGAACCAGCCGTCGTCCTTCACTCTTGGTAAGAACCTTTCAAATCCGTGAGAATCGCGCGCGCCAAGGACTCAATAATCGAAATATCGCCGATGCTTTCTAAAGTCGCGTTACTTTCACTTTTCCAGAACAATTGAACGAGATTCGCAAGGCGAAGCTTGCCAGAATGATCTGCGACAACACCGATCTGATCGACACAGTGCAAATCTATCCGATGGTCCTTCCCGATCATGAAATGTAAGTAAAAACCAATCATCACATAATTTACGCGAAATAAATAAATAACAATTCGCGAGATGAAACGCACACACGTTCAAGAATTAAACACAAAAAAAAATCAAAATAATCTTTTCAATTACTTCACCGCAGAAATCCCCGAGTCCCTTGTCGAAGCGGTATTCTACCCGGGATTGACTTGTCGAAATGGGCCGAATACCCGACGACGAGTCACGCCGCACAATACGTGAGTAATTTAGCAGGCCAGTACGGGCAGTTGGGGAAATGAAAGACAAAGAGAAAAAGAAAAAAAGGGTCAGATTCACTAGAAATAAGCAGAGTGTGCCCCACGCAAAACACCAACGCGCAAACACCAACCGAGCCACTAGCCTGGAAGCCCGAGTCCTTAGGCACTCTATAATAATTCGCGACCACCCCGTAGGCAAGCACGTGTTGAAGTAGAGCAAAAATAACTAGATTTAATAAGACATGCTTTCGTTGAGAACAAATCAATTAATAAACTATAAGCGCGAACAAGATCACAGAGTAGGCCAGTGTCGATAGTTAGCTCGATTAGCCGTTTCGTCATTTCTCATTTATCAAGTAGATACGATCCCTAACGCATGAACTAATTTCGATCATAGAATATCGACTGATTGATTAATTGAAGATCACGCGCAATGCTCACATATCGACTCTGGACTCTCAGACTCACACAGAATCACATCTCTAACTTCTACAGTAATCCGTGTCAAAGTGTACATACATATAGCTTTTTTCTATAGTAGAAGTACGTCGTGCTACTCTCATGTGCATTCTTCGTACACTCATCAGTACATTTCAGAAACATTTCTCATCATCTGACTGCTATTTATGCTATTTATGATTGTGTAATGTTACGGTTTGAATGTTGCGTATGACTCTGCACAGAGGTTTCACATACAATTGGGCTTTTCTCTCGCGTATAAACTCATACAGCTTTTTTTTATCATTGTTTTTTTTTTTTTTACTTTAGCGTTATTTATTAAATATATAGCAATTTAAATGCCGGAAATGTTTGCGAGTATATTGCATTTCTTGTTCTCTTACACTGTACTTCAACTCACAGATAACTTCGTTCGAGAAAACACACCTACGTCTTAATTACAAAATTTGCCATTCTGGAAAATACACCCCTCTGTACATAGCGACAATCAACTCAAATCATCATTCGCATATTTATCACAGTAATGACAAATCAAAATAGCGTGTGTAGCTTTTCATTATTTCTGTTTCTCAATGAGTAAAATAAACACATCCATGTAAAAAGTTTATTGGTAATTTCTTTTTGAGTTTTTTGATAATTTCGTTCAAAGGTGTTTTTGATTCGTCATTACCGATCTATCAACATCTCCTCAACGGACTCTATACTTTTTTTTTTTTTTTTAAGCAATGCTTGATATCTAGTCCACTCAATATTTTGCGTAAGCACCCTTGATTTTTCAATCGAATTACACTGTAAACGTCTGTGTGGCTATAATGCGAAGCGCGATCATTTAACTATGTATATTCGAAGACAATTGCGAATGGTGTATTTCTGTAAGTTGAACTCTCTGAATTTTTCTTCTCCGGAACGTCGCATATTTCGACTGTGTGCAAAATTGTGTAAGTGCCATTTTTCTATTAAATAATATACTTTGATACAATACAAAAAAAAACCGATTTTTTACCGATTTGTTTTATATCTCGCGCATATAAATTATTCCCATCGTTTTCTCTACACATCATTTTCCTAGTCTACATTCACACCCCTGACACACTCACGGAATCAGATGATCGCATTTGTTTTCAAAACACGTGATCGTACACAAGAGAGACTTATATAGCGTCCTAAATATTCCGTTCCACGCATTTCCCCGCCAACTGCGCCTATGCACTACCCACAACACATTAGAATCTACCTACAATCACCTATATTGTACTATAGCGATGGGTGGAGGAGCAATTGCTTGACGTGCCGGGACGTCCGGTGAAACCGGCGAGCATGGTGCGGGAGCACTACGACAGACGGCAAGCTTACCGAATCTTCTTTGAGAATGTTAATGGCATTGCTTCGTATCTGGGATTCACGAGAAAATAGCCGCAGTGCACCGCGGGGGACAGAAATTACGTCCGAACCGTATGCCCTGCCTGTGTGTGTACGTCTCTCATTACTGCGCTCTAGAGACACTATCTCAAAAGTGCATTACAAACGTGAAAAAGAAATTACATTCAGCATTTTAGTAGCAACGAACTGAGTTATCGAAATGATAAATCGTTATTTTTCTACTTTTGTTACTTTTAGTCTATTCTCAATGCGTAGTAATAATTATGACTGTATCACGAAGCTTCTTCAAGCTTCTTTACCAGATGCGTAAACGCATCATGTTACGAAATATGAGCGTATACTTACGTGTTCGCTTTATTTTCCAAGTGGCATACTATCTAATCATTGTTTCAGCGATAGAGTTGCAGATAAATAAATGTGTGTAGATATTAAGAGAAACTATGCAATATTGTTTATATATCAGTTATTGCTTCAGGTATTATTGTAATGAGCCGGATGTAAATATTCACGGTGGCTCAAAAATTTGCACGACTCATTACGGATCTATATACGACCGAAATGTAATGTTTTCTAGTGTAATAATGTAGTTTGTGTACCGTCATTTTTGTACAGCAAATACAATTCACTTTAATAAAAGTTTGATAAATTTTTACCTCACTTTTCATTCTCGATATGTCAAGAAACCGCACGTAAAAATTAATAGAAAAAAATTCGTAAGAGGTGTTACGAGAGTTTAACGACACACTGTGGTTTAGACAGATCGTTGTATAACAGTATGGGTACAATATGTTACACAGTAGTAAATTGTGCACGAGTATATAGTTTAATATTACGAGAATGATATACGAGAGGCAATATATTTCCTGTTTTTCACTCTGCTTTCATAAGAAAGAGCATAAACGTAAGTATACACTAGATTTACCGTTCATTAGATTTATTATATAACAACAATCCTGTACAATAATACATTAACGTAAAAAAATGACAGTAATATTGTTTTTTTAATTATATTTATTTTCTAACTAGAATATACACGATTATTTTCAGAATATCCTAACAAAGAAATCAGCACAAGCTGCTTCAGAAGTTAAGCCCGTGTTGCAACACATGTACATTAAAGAACTTAATAAACTCAAGTTGAAAGATTGGAATAAAATGGAAAAAAATGTAGCAAACAAATTTAAACAGACACCGAGCAAGCGATGGAAATATTCAAATCCCGCTGAATGGAAGAAATTCGCGCAACACGTAGAAACACCTCGAAAATTAGAAATGCCACAGCAACAAGAAAATCCTCTAATTAAACAACTTACATCACCGAAATCTCTTTCAGTAAACAACCCGGATACAAATCTGTCTTATGACACGGAAATTGTCAAAATCACAACCGTTATCGAGACCATTCGACAAAAGCGACAAAGAAGTGCGAATATGCCAGAAGAGACGAAAGACATTGAAAGAATAATCGGAAAAAGACGTTCGAAACGCTCGTCCCGCAACTCGGATTATAGCGAAGATGCGCAACGTGCTCGTAAGGAAATACTTTCCATTATGAACAAGCGATCTCGTTATCCAAAGCGTCGTTATCCGCGAAAAGAGGATTTACCGACGAGAAAACACGCGAGCGATGATCTTAAAGTAGCGAACAACATACCGAGTACTGTGTTTTACAAACGCATTTGGGAGTACATTAACGGTACTCGTCCTCATTCCGATATTGCGAGCAACTACTACGATTCTTCGCAAAATCATCTCGAAAAAAAGAATTCAACGTGCACCGACCAAGATCGAATTACCGCTTCACAATCGCGAACGAACGAGTTGCAAGCGACAAGTCCCGACATTAAACCGGAACGAGAATTGTACAAACGTATCTGGGATATAATCAACGCGACTAAACTGACATACAAAGCTCGTTCTAAACGAAACGCAGATATTCAACAGAGTGACGCGACAGTTTCGGCGCAATTGTGTGCGCAAGAAAAAAATACAAATCCCGAAGAGAACGAACAGGCGACAAATAAAAGAGGAGCAACGCTCGATTATACCGATACGATAAATTCGCGAGAAATTCCCGATTTCGTATCGAATTTTTGGATCGTCGCGAATAAAACTCAATGGAATCCTAAGAGAGTTACGCCGGTGAACATAGTCAAATTGAATTCGATGTTGTTGCCGAACGCAAATGTCGCGAGCGCTTCTGAAGTGGATGACTTAAATACATTTCCCGATAAAGTTCAAAGTAACGCCGATTATTCGTCCTCAAACAATTCGACTGATTATGTCAACGAATCGCACAATCAGTCGCAAGCAATCACCAAGCCCGGACCGCCGTATTCTTCGAACGAGGAAGACACCACCGTTTCGTCACTTTCGTCAACTGTGAAGACACCTCAAACGGCCCACTCAGAAAGTTACGCGATCGAAACAACTCCGATTTATGACCCCTCGAACATACCTTACGTGGAAGTGCCCGATTACTCCGAGAAACGCGAAAACAGTTTAGACAAAAATAATCAGAGTTCAGCTGTAGAAAAATATAAAGAATACGATGATAACGATTATGTTGACCCGGAACAACTTCACAGTGTCGAGCATTTCTCTTCAAACTCTCCTCCCCATATCGAGAGCGATGTAGAACATAATATTCAGGCCACAAATGACGGGTCAGCGACTCCGTTAAACGTTTCACAGTCAAACTGCGTAGAAAGTAAAGACTCTACAGAGTGCATTAAACAGTATAATGTTGAAGACGCTAAACCGAATAACAACACTAAGAACGACACAAGCGATGTCGCTCAACATGCTGCGGAAAATTCCGCAGAATTCGTAGAGCGCGAAAACTCCACCGAGGAGTTTGTTCATTTTGATATAAACGAGTATAGAAAACCGTTCAAATATGATTTTATTGATCCAACATTCAAACACTTCCGTAATGATTTCAACAAAGAAACACAGGAGGAAGAAAAAAAAGATACAAAACATGACAAAGATGCAAATTCTAATAACAGTGGGGAATCCGAAGAATACGAAGAATTTGCTACGTATCCAGAAGAGAAATATACAAAATATAACAATGAAGAAAATCCTAATCGCAAAGAGAAGTCCGCTGAATACGAAAACTACTTTACATATCCGAAAGAAAAAGAAGAAAAACACGACAATGAGGAAAATTCTAACGATACCGAGAAATCCGAAGAAATATACGCTAGATATCCAAAACAAGAGACAAAACATGAAGACGCTGGAGAAAATCCCGATCATAGTGAGGAAAAGTATGAAACACACGCTACGTATGAAAAAGAAAAAAATGTCACAGATGACAGTGAAGAAATTCCTTTTGACAATACAAAACCCGAAGAATATGAAGCATACGGTACGTATACGAAAGAAAAAAACAATGACGATAAGAAAAATCTTGAACAGAGCAAGAAATCCGAAGAATACGAAATATATCCGAAAGAAGAATTATACGATTATTCGACAAAGAACAAAGATTATCATGGCAATTACAATCCAACTTCTGACGAAGAGAAAGATGAGACGAAAGAGAAAACCGATGTTGAAGATGGGGAAAAAATTAGCGAGATAAGCGACAAGAATCAGTACGTCGATAAAGATTTCTTTAAGCATATTTTTGAAGAAGACAGAAATAAAGAGTCGTCCGATAAAGTCGACACGAAACGCGAATTTTTGTCTCGTTACTTTACGGAAGATGTTCTGCGCAAAATGCAAGAAAACTCGAAGGATACAGAAGAAGATAAGCAAAAGGAGGAGTCGAAAAATAGAGAAGAAATTCACAAAACGTTGTCGGAAATCTTAGACAAGAAGGATCGTTATTCTAGATTAGACGAGAATCTCGACAAGATGATTGAAAAAGGCGAAGCAGTACCTATTAGATATAACAATTATTGGAGTTTGGAATATCAATCGCCTAAGAATATTGAGATAAAAGAAAGAGAAGAAGCTTAAGACAAATTTTAATTAAATCATGTTATGTTTTATTAAACTCGTTAAACTCGTTTCAGAAGTAGATAGAATAAAAAATTGTATAATTAAATATATTATTATTATTATTGTTATTTAATTAGATCGATTATTATTGTAACAGTGATACTTATTTAGAAATTGTTGTAATGCACAATTGTTATGCCTATTAAAAATTAAATATCGATCATATTCTGTGATCGTACACATTGTAACCAGTTGTTTGTATCCTATTTTGTATTAAATTTAAATAATGTCATTTAATAAAACGCGCGCAAAGGTAAGTATAAACATACATAACAATATACATAACAAATTTACATAACAATTTTACTTTTTCGACACAATAATAGAAAACGTGCAAAAAACACATGTCTAATTATAAAAATAATGTAAAAGCTCTTATAACATGTATGAAAAAAAAAACGCTGTCAATAAGTGTTTCATTTTTATTTAATTGGCACAAATGATTAGTAAATTTTTAAGAAGTGTCTAAAGTCGAACGCACACAGAAAAATATATAATAGGTATAATAAAAGATATTGCACTTACCACTGTTTCTAGCTGTGCCAAATCTAATGTAGGGCTCTTACACAAAAACACACTTCGGACACTTAGATGCACCGGAAATTGAAAAAATTCGATTGACGGAAGATAAGCCGCGGGGTTTCCTTAGCGCGAGGGTTGAATATCGGCGTTTGCGGATATATAAGAGACCGACGAGATTCGTTCAGTGTCATTCGAGTTTTAACAATTCCAACACAGTTTCGCCTTCTTAAGCTGCCGTATCGTTCTCAGGTAAACTTTCGAAGAATCTTATTTATTTCTTGAAATGCGAAAAACGCGTACCTTTATTTTAACCGTGTACATAAAAGACGCGCACGTAATTCGTTATCGATTCACCCGCTAACTGAAGCAATTCGTCGCGCAATTTTTTATTCGATCGCGCTAATCGATCAACGATATTGCTCGCGCGACACGCGTATTAAACATCCGTATCGAACGCAGTTCGCGCGATCCTTGGTCTTGAATCCATAAGTGCTTCCTGAACGGGAAAACGAGAAAGGAAGACAGAGACAAAAGAGAGAGAGAGAAAGAGAGAGATTACGCAGATAGCCAAGACATCCATATTTATTAAGTTTATATGTTTGCAATGTAGTCGTTAAGGCGAACGCGGAAGCTTGTGTCCAAGTTATTCCGGTTATAAATGACCGTATATATAAAAAAGTGACGCGATCGACGTAACGACAGAGTTCTCGAGTTGCGGAACGTGAAAAAAATCTTTGGAAGTGGCGACGATATCGCGACAGTTAACACGGTTGCATATTATATATATTATTTTTCATTGAAAATATAATCGTGTCATATCAATTTTTGTACGTACAATGTGTGAATACGAGTGTTCGATGAACTTGTTGATTATCGGTTAAAAAAAAGAGAGAAGAATCAAAACGAGAAAGAAGAATGATCTTAAAACCCGTGTTATCCCTGAAAGTTCATTGTTCCAGTGGTTCCCCCTTTGTCCTTTCTCTCGAATAACCGTTAATTACAAAATAAAAATGCAAAACTTCACCGAAGGTTCAGTTAATAAACAATCATTTTAATTTAACTAAAATCAAAAATTAAATTTTATTTTCAATTCAACAACTCGCGAACTCAGTTTTTGTGCGTCAGATTACTTTTTTACTAATTCTTTATTGTAATCAATTAACTAAAATAAAATAGGAGCTCGGCGTTTTGTTAAATATGTATAAGAGCTTTTTATTTGTTTAAAGCACGTTGTATACGATAAATAAATTTCTTGCATTTATTTTTAATTACCATCGTTTGTTGTTAGATGAGAGAGAGAAAGAGAGAGAAAGAATTAACATTTACACTTGTTTCAGTCATGCGTTTATTTCTCTCAAAACGTATTGTCATACTGCTCGTTATTATCTATGCTGTTTTGTGCTTTACAAAATCTACAAGTGATGCTGAGAGAAATATTGGTAAGTGAATTTTAACAATTACACTATTGAAATATAAATGTGATCAATTATATATATATATATATGTTTTGTACAAACTGATTTTGTGCAGGTGTTTGCATAAGAAATTGTGCACAATGTACGAAATTGTTTGGACCATTTTTTCAAGGAGCAAAATGTGCGGATCTATGTATCAAATATAAGGGAAAGCTGATTCCGGACTGCGAGGACGAATTTTCAATTCGCCCTTTTCTTCAAGCGCCTGAGAACGACTATTAATTATTATCAAAACATCGATTCAAGCTTCGATTCTCATTTTCTCGCTCTCATCTTTGTATTGTTAATGTTAAGCCGCGTACTCCTATATCGTATCAAAATTTTATGTAAATTATTTGTGCTATGTGCATCTTATGCAAATTCTTAGTTATATATATATATATATTTTTTTTTGTTAATATTTATTATCTCTCTAATTAATTGTTATCTATGATATAATTGTAATTAAACTAATTGTATTGTAATTAAAATAAATGCATATGCATATATTTGACGTGTCTATTTTTGAAACATATATTATTTACTTAAATATTAATAAGAATATAATTATTAATAAAAAAATATTAATTAAAAAAATAAATTATTTAATTATTCAAAACATGAGAAGAAACGATAAAATCACAAATCTCTTTTTAAGAAATTGAACAGTGCACATAACATATACCTTTTACCATAATAATTATTTTATCATTATATTTGTTGATATAATTTAATTGATCAAAAATACCTTCGAGATTCCTACTTCACCAATTAGATTACTCGGTACGTACGTAGAGTACAAAGAGCTGGTGTAAACATTCGTCATCTCTGAAACAAAAAAAAGTATTTTTGTTTTAAATATCAATAGAAAAAGAAATATTTTATGTTAAACTTGCAAATCTTTTAACTTTTGTCAAACTTATTACCTTTCTGTTATTGTGGAGCTGCCCGAACCGGATCCTCCGGTATTGCAAACAGATTCTCAGCCTCGCGTCCTCGCTTCTGTGTCCTGTCTGTGTCCTTCTCAGCCGGTCAGTCGCACACTTCACACAAAATTTGGCACCACTCGTAAACTCTCGATAACACGTCGCAAAATAGTATGGCAAGTGCGTCGATCGTGATATTTCGCTTTGTTTCTAACACTTTAACATTCACACACACTCACTTCACTGACTTATTCGTATGCGATATTTAGTCCCGAAGCGAAATACAGAAAGCAAAATACGAATAAATCCGCGCCACGATCCGATTGCGGGAGAAAGGTCAAGGTGACAGGTACTACGCGAGTCGACGTAAGAAAACGGGAACAACACGAGTCAAAACGCGAACTCGCATGGATTCGCGCCGTTCAGCGAATTTAATTAACTGTATTACTTTCATAAATGTATGCTTTATACGTGTATGTTTCTATATATGTACAAAAGTAATATAAAATTACAAATAACATTCTAAATATCTTTTCGTTAACAATTACAAATTCAGAATATACGATAGCGATTACATGGATCACTATGCAGTACCGCAAAATCTCGAATATTATATCAACGGCGAAATCAAATATATCGAAACAAAAAAAAAGCAATTCGTTATTAAAAAAGATCTTAATTATTTTGAAAGTAATTTTTGAAGCTATACGTCTCTGATCGCCTGCATAAACGGAACTTTTGGAAAGATGCGCTAATTTGTTCTTTTTCTATCGAAACAAGTCGAAATTTCTACTGCGTTATTAATTGCGATTCCGTGTTTTATTTATATTTTATTGCATTACCTGTTACCTTTATTTAACGTTTCTGATACTTATTTGCGTGCAATATTAATTCTCAAGGTGAAAATCAACGAGAAGAACGCGAAGCAAACGCGCTACGATCCGTCCGGCGAACAAACCGCTGGAGAAAAGAAGAAAGATACGGGGACTACACGAGTCAATGCAAGGCGAGAAGCAGCGGGCAGGCGCGGGGACTACACGAGTTCACGCAAGGCGCGCTTTACGTAGCTCGAGTTTTTAGCCGGTTTTAGTAGCTTTTACGACCTTGGTACGTACGAAATAATAATAATCACATAATATTCTATACACACACGCTCGCAAAGCAAAAATACGTATAATATATTAAACATTTTATTAATTTTGAATAAAGTCGCAATATAATTTTATTTCATTTCATGAAATTATATTACGACTATGTATAAATACACGTAAACAACTTTATTTACTAAATTTTTAATTTATTTGGAAATAAACTGTTTGTCATCCTCAAAATTTATTATTCTGACATGGGCGGAGTCACGAGACATTCTGGAATTGTTGACAGAGTTTGCTTCAATTCTAGTTGTTGTACCTAAAATATAAAAATACAGAAAACAATATGAATATATTTAATATGAATAATATTTTATGAGTTTAATGTTTTTTTTTTCAATTGTATTTTAAAATCTTACACGTTGTCGCAGCGATTTTTCATTGATAGCTGCTCGCGTTAACAACTGTTTTACTTTATCCAAGAGTTCGGATTTGTGAAGCAATTGCTCTTTCAAAACACGATAATCTCCGTTATCATCATCCTTTTCTGCTTTTTTCAACATAGCTATTCTTTGCTCAGCTAGTCGTAAATCCGATTCCAAGCTTATTATACGTTTCTGAGACTCCTCGTATTGTCTTTGAAGCAAAGTGTTTTCTTCTATAATATTTGTCTTGCCCTATTTGAAATATATATGAATAAAATCAACGCATAAAAATCGAACGTATCACATAATACATCAAGAAAAAATTAAATTTATTAAATTTACTTGATTGACTAGACAGTTATTTCTTTTTGAATTAAATTTTAATCTTTTATTCTCCACTTGAAGTTTCTCAATAATTCGTTTCAATGTGAATATTGTTTTTTCCATTTCAAAGGTAGATTTTTGCATGTTTAACTCTGGTGTGTCTTTATCTGACGATCTAGGAGTAGAGTCAGAAGATTTCTCTGCTTTTAATAGCTTTATGTATCTGCAATATAAGAAATACAATAGTATGAATTGCTTCAAAAACTATTTATATTTTGGCAAAGTAAAAACATAAACACATATGTGTATACTTTTCTAAATGTTCAATTTTTTCCCGTAATCTCGGAGTATCCGAGTTTGCTTTTTCTAATTGGAGTCGCAAATCAAAGTTTTCACTTTCTAACTTGAGATTCATCTTTTCGAGAATGTCTTTGGTCATTTCTAACTTCTCAAGTTGACTAACTACGCACGTATTACCCTGCAAAATAGTATCAAGCAATAGAAAAAAAAAACATTACATTTATTACTGTAAACTGAAACAAAAAGCAAACCTGAGAAACTGCTTCCAAAGCCGCATTGTGCCGTTTCAATTCTGCTATTTCTAACATCAAATGTTCATTGCTTTCTTTCTCTAAACGATTCGTCAATTCTTTAACGCGTTCTCTCAATATTCGACATTCTTTTTCCAATTCATCCTGAGTGTTGTGCTGAACGTTTGAAACAGGTCTTGCTGACGAACTGCCAGAAGCAATGTCGCTCTCCGGTTTAAGTTTGCTTCTCAAATACCATTTTTCTCGTTCCATACACGACACAACAGATCGTAGTTTCTCGTGATTTGTTAGCAACTTTTCGTATTCGTCAGTCTTCTCTTTAAGTTTTTCTTTCAATTTTTCAGCTGTTTGTTGCCACTTTTTCTGTTTCTCCCACAATAAAAGTTCCTCCGCAGTCTATTAGACAAAAAAAAGTACTAAGTACATAATACATAACATAAAATGACGATATTTTCTACCTTAGCTTTTTTAGCTTCTTGCGCTAAAGTTTCTCTATCCAACTGGGTCTTCGCTTTCTTTAATTCTTCTTCCAAAGATGCTACTTTACGTTCGAGCTGTGCTTCACGTTGCGATGTTTTTTTCTCCTGTGTTTTTATAGACATATATCTGAAGTAATAAACCAAGTATTTTTGATAATATTGTATCGACGAGTGTTAAAAAATAAAATCAATAGAAAAAAGAAGTCGATAAAATTGCTTGCTAAAACTCGACGAAAAATTTACCTGCGGCTAAGTTGTTGCTTCAAGTCTGTTATCTCATTCTTGTACATTTTTTCTTTCTCCATTAAAGAATGAAGCTGTCGACGTAAAAGATCTATTTGATTTTGTTGTTGCGTTTGATCACGATGGCTGTTGTGCGGTATTTCTTTTATTTTTACATCATCCCGACTGTGAACTGTTATTTGATGAGATTGATTTACGGACTGTATCAATTCGACTTCACTCTGTGTGTAATGTATTAAAATATATGAGAAACCGACCAATCATAAAATATGAACATCTTAAAATGACATTTACATACTTGTAATTGTTGACAAGCAAGACTTAATTCGTGTATTCGGTCATCTTTCTCTTGCAGTTCTTTCATTAGAGAGATATTTCCTCTCGTAAGTAACATGCGATTTTCAGATAATTGTTGCCTAAGTGTATCGGCCTCAGACTGCCATTTATTTAATTCATCGCGATAGCTTTCCAGCTCATTTTTATGTTGTTGTTCTAGTCTATGAAAAGAATAAATTATTTTTATAGTAAGAAAAATTCACTTTCTAACATTTTGTACATCATTACAAATAAAACGGTTGAATTCATTAAATGCCAAACGCATTGTATTATACAAACCTTTCTCTCATATGATCAATGTATTTCAATCTTTCTTCTGCTAACCGGTGCCAACGTTCGCTCAGTTCTTTGCTAATATTTAATTCTGCTTCAAGAGTAGATATCTTTTCATGTAACCTAGCAGTTTCTTCTTCTTGCGCAGCATTGTTTTGACGAGACCTTGTTATTCTCGACGTGGTCTCGTCAAACGATGACGGTTTTTCCAAAATCCTTTCAACAGTCACGACTGATAATTCTTCAGTTTTCTTCGTTTCATTTTGCATAGCTAAAATATGATCGTGCAGACTTTTAATTTCATCTTGAAAACGACTTGCCGCCCGACTATGTTCGTCTCTGTCCTCTTTCAATAAATTCTGATATCTCAAAATAGTCTCTTCTTTCTGATTAAGTAACTTCTGCAAACTATTTATTGTCGACTTTAAAGCTAATTTGTCAGTACAATCTGTGCTTATAACGTGTGGCTGAGTCATCGATTCATCATCAAGCACAGTTTGTTTTTGAGCAAGATATAAATCTTTCTCTTCCATCGCTTTTATTTCAGTTTGATACTGTGAATTTTTCTCTATCATTGCTTTGTTTAGATCGTTCATTTTTACTTGATACTGTGTATCTCTTTCTTCAATCGCTTTGTTCAAACTATCCAATTTTGCTTGATATTGCAAATCTTTTTCAGCCATCGTCTTATTTAGAGCATCTACTTTTGCTTTGTATTCTGCTAATTGCGATTCACATTTGTCGAGCATCTCTGAGCGTTCCGATGCGACTTTCAGTACTTCATCCAATTGTTCTTTAAAGATCGTCGAACTGCTGCTCTCATCTACGATAGTTTCTTGGATTATAGGTTTTATCGGTTTGTCTAGTTCAGTTTGAATTTCTTTAGAAACTTTAGTTTCCTTGCTTGCACTTTTTACTTTTTCATTTAAACAACATGTGTAAGGATCTGTTTGAACACTGACGACGTGAGTTTCTGTTGCTACTTGAATAGACTTTGTTTCAAAATTTGCTGTATTAATTCGAACTTGTGAATATTCTTGTTGTGGATACCAAGCTCTCTGAATATTTAGCATATCTTGCTCCATGTTACCTATTACTGACTCGTACTCATTGAATTTGCTATTGGCAATTTGAAGTTCATGCTCTAAATGAGCAATTTTTCTTTTGTATTTGAAATCCTAATTAAAAATAAAAAAACTAAAAATAGAAAATAGAATTTAACATTAAATCTATTCATACTTGTAGACAAACTTACGTTTAAAGTCTTTTGCGAAGTTTCAGCAAAATGTTCCATGATATTTTGAATATTGCCAGCACCGATTTGTTGCTCCAATATGTCTTTTAAACGTTCGACAATCTCAAGACGAGTAGACAAAAGTTGCTGTTCGTACTTGACATCTTCATGACATTTTTTCACTTTTTGCATTTCTGCATCGATATTTTGATGATCTGTTTTCAGTTTTGCAGCGAGAGCAATTACTTTTTCTAAGGCACTTACAGAAGTAGATCCCACATACTGGCATTGTAAAAAATATATAATATCTATGTAATACCTGCAATACATAAACAAAGATGAAATACACTTCGTAAATGTAAAATAACGTCTAAGATGTGTAGGTTTTTGATTTTACTTGCACCGATTATCGCATTGCTTCCGGTAATCTTGTATATAATTACGCATTTCCTCACATTTCTTTTTTGAATTATCGAGCTCTTGCCTTATGGAAGCTAATTCGTTCTGCAACTGCGTTTTCTGCGCGGTTTGTTCCATTTCCGACATCTTTGTACTTCTGAGCTCAAAATCAAGTCTCGAAATAGTAGCCTTATCTTCGCTTACAGCTTGCAGATCTAATATTTGATGTCTCAAATTATCTAACTCCAACGTTTGCAGCGAATTTAGCGAATACTGCACTCGCGCTTCCTCTTCGACAATTTGTATCTTTTTCTTCAAATTTTCATTTTCTATGATAAGTTGCGATTTTTCATTTTGAAGCTCTTGTATACGGTTGTCATCTATTTTTACAGTCTGCTGTACAGCTACTTCTTCAAATAATTTTTTGTGCACTTCGATTAATTTCTCCTGCAATTCGGAGTTAGAAGTAGAAAGTTGTTTAACGTTATCTTCGTACTTCGCTAATTGTTTTTGTGATATTTCGTGTAATCTGGCCATTTGCTCAGCTCGTTGTCTCTCCATCAGTTCTTTGGCTTCTATTTCTTTCAATTTTTGTTGCAAATTATCCTCTTCGTGATTGTTTGTTTTCTGCAAACTTTCTATAAATTGATGTTTTTCTTGTCTTATTTTTTCTATTTCTTCTTTCAAGGATAATATTTCCGTATAATCAGCAAATATTATTGTTGTTTCCAACAAAGCATGATGACGTATATTCAGTTCTTCGTATTTCTCTTTCAGCTCGTTATGCACTGTTACACTCACCGAATTAGACAAGTTACTCTGCAATAGAGAGATCTCTGATAGTAACGTTTTGATGTGCTTATCTGCGTCAGCAAGAGCTCGATTGAGATCGCTTTCTTTCCTAATCATTTCTTTCTGATATTCATATAATTTACTTGTTTCCTTATTGAATAATTGCTGAAGAGTGGCATTTTTTCTGTTCATAACTATTATTTCGTTAGCGGCGTCTGCATATTCTCTTGTTTTTATCGCAAATGATTTTTTAACTTCATCATCTCCGTCCTCTAGAATTTTCCAATTTTTCTCATAAACTTCTAACTGCTTCTTACAACCATCTATCTCATATTTTAACTGATTATTCTCTTCGACCAAAAGATCCTTTTGTTTCTCCCATTCTTCTGCTTCGTTCTTGTAAGCCGTTTGCAAAGCTTTCATTTCTGCAAGATAGATTGTGATCGCCTCATCTTCGCCATGTTTCTCGTACACTTTTTCGAAGTCTATACTTTTATTTGTTGCTAAATCTTCTAATATATTATCTTTTTTTTGCAATTCTTTTCTATAGAACATATAAAACAATTTCTTTATTATCATGAAAATAAATCTTATTCTGATTTCTTAATAAAAAAAAAATACCTCAACAACTTCAGTTGTGATCTTAATTCAGCATTGCTACCTTGTACAACACTCAGATGTTCTTGTAATCTCATAGCTGGATGATACCAACCAGCTAAATGCCGGGCATCTAAAGCTTCCAATAATCGCTCCAACGTTGTAGATTGTATTGTTACCTCGCTCTTACCTAAGACAATAATTACAAATAAATATCACTTGCTACTTATTTTAGGCGAAGTAAAAACTGCAATAAAAATCACATAAAACAAATTAAGCAGATTTTGATCAAAAAAAAAAAAATTATAATTCTATATGTAGTATATTAAATAGAGAAAAAGAGAAAAAGAAGCAAAATAGTCTTGAGAGTGTCATAGAAAGAGAAATATGTGCAACACACTAAAGTACCGTTAAAGTTAGCAAAAATTCACCATCTTGATTATGTATACTGTCCATGATCTCATGCAAGCCTGTTCTAAGTGCTTCATTTTCTTCTATAAGTATTTGAATATCTGATGTAACCTCAGAAATATCAGTTTTGGAATATACTTGTGCATTTTCTAATTCCATTACTTTAGTCGAATGTAAAAACTGATTACTATAGTCTAAGTTATCTGAAATATCTGATATTTTCTCAGATTTGCTCAACTTATACCTTAACATCCTTATCTACAAGTAGTAAATTTTGTCATAATAAATAATTCTATACTAATACGATAGAAATGCATGTGTAAATATTATTAGAGCTTTTCTATTCATTTATTTTTTAAAAATTTTATCTTACATCTGATTTTAATTCTAAATTTTCCTCTACAAGACTTTTATTTTGACGAACGAGCTCTTCTATTTTTCTGGACTCTTCTTTATGTTTTACCACAATATTTTTAATTGATATTGATTCATCTTCTGGAATTCCTAACTTCTCCCTGTTAGAATATTAACAAATTTTTAAGTTGTTTCTATCTCATTTTCTTAAAATAACTATAAATTATTGTCACCAAATAAAAAAATTTTACCTAAGACTTAAAATCTCCATTTCCTGATATGAATTTAACATTTCCAATTTATTAACAACATTAACTAAATCTTCGATATGTTCATTTTTATGATTGATTTTAATTTTTAATTCTTTGATTTCATTCAATGCTTTAGCTAACGCTTCATTTCCATTTTCATATTTTTTTAGTACAGATAACACTTCGCATAACTACAGCAAAGAATATGAAAGTTAGTATAATTGTATAAAACTTTTTATGTGTGTAAATTTAAGATATAAAATTATAAATGTTTGACACACACTTTATCACCCTGTGCCTTGGCATCATTTTGCGCTTGCATTAACGCGTTTTCCAAATTAGCGATTTTTTCTTTTGAATTTTGTAGTTTTTTCAACAAGCTTTTTTGTTCTTTTCGTTTTTTATCCTTTTCAGACCTATTAAATCGATAATATTAAAACTACACTTTATAAAATCATAGACATAAAATAATATCACTTTCTTTTTCTTACTCTTGTGATTCTCCCTTTAATTTTTCCATGAGCGCAGCGCTCTCATTAATTTCAATGACTGCCTCTGAAAGTTTAGCTTGTAATTCGACTATGATCGCATCTCGACGAATTATTTCGTCATTTAATTGACTAATTTGTGATTTATTTTCTTCTTTAGCTGATGTAACTGAATGTATTAAGGACTGTGACAAGCTTTCTTTCAAATGTGTAATTTCCATATCTTTTTCATCCAATATGTTCTGGCAATATAAATAACGCACAAATTCTATAAACTTTATAACATTTCTAAGTGTTTTTTTTTTTTTTTGAAATAATCAGTACCTTCCATTCAGATATTCTGACATCAATAGCTGCACCAAATTCATCCAACATCCTATCTCTATCTATTTGCTGTGCTGTTATTTCTTCAATTTGAGTAATCAAGGCTCCATTCTTTTGTTCCAATTTTGCTATCATATCTATAATCACACAGCATTTATATTATTTATTTAAAACATTGTAGATATATTGTGCAAACAACAAATATTAGAATACCTTTATATTCCTCAACTTTAATTTGAGATAAATGAAGTTCTTCAGTCATATCATCCATTTTTTCTGTTGCATCTTCCATTTCATCTTTCAGAGTTGATAACTGCTCTTTGAGAATTTCATTTTCTTTGTCCAAACTCTAGACAATAAAAATAATTAAAAATAAATAAAAATTTTTTAAATAAATCTCTTTGTGTAGACTTGCCTCTAGTTCAATCATTAAAGTCTTGACTTTTTCATTTTTTTCTTGTGTGTCTGGATGAGAATATTTTCTTAAATCAGTATCCTGTGATTAAAGACATAATATTAAGAAGTATAACAATGCAAAAGATGTTTTGCTAACAAGTTACTGAGAAGAACTTACTTTTGTAAAACCATTACTCTCTTGTTTTATTGCAGATATGCTATATTCTGTTAAAATTATATATAATATTAGTATTCCAAAAAAAATTATAAAATTTTATTTTTTATAACTATAATTCTGAGTTAAAAAATAATTTAAATATTCAAGTATATTTATATATTACCTTTACTTTTTCGTTTAGTAGTCTCTGGATGCAATGAAGCTATTGCTTCTTTTAATTCACCACATTCAAGAAGCAAAGCCTCAACCTAACATAAATAAATTTATTTTATACATGAATGTTAGTGGAAAAATATTATTTCTGTATAAAACTTATTGTGTAACAAAAACAAGAAAATATAAAATCTAATAGCAAACATTACCATCATGTACAAAGACAAAATTAAAATTACTGTATCAAATGTTTTATGTCCATATATAATAATGAATTCTCACTTGATTATCTTTATAAGTCAACATTTCCTGGGATAATCTCATAAGTGTCTTCAGGTTTTGTACGTCAACAATCTCGTCCACATCGCATCGGACCACCGCAGGAAAAAGGTCCTCGATATCATCATCTGTTAAAGCTGAAACATTTACAGATAATATCCGATCCCAATCGGTGCGAACCATTTTTTGCTAATCATATAATTTTTGCTTGCACAAATATATATTATTGCATGACGCTTCTTTTGACGTTTGCAAACAACATTGGCGTCATTGCAATCAACGTCGATAAAACAGTATAATTTTATGTTGCACTAACAAGTTCTAGTATAGAACTAACTGCGTCACTACTTGGTAGTTCAATGTATTTTGGTTACTAGGAGTCGCAACAAGCGATCATCTGTGCATAGCACATGGCGGTACAGAAGTATTGACTGTTTCTGTGAAAAAGTTGATTGTTTTTGTAAATGTAAGAAAAACATGGCTAACTTCGATATTATAGACAGTATCATATCTTCTCTTGACAAAATTCAATCACTAGAAAGAATAAAAAGGTAAGTGTATAAAATTAATATTCCTTATATGTATGTAACCTAAAATTATAAATAATAAAGAGAAAAATAGTTTTATGATTTATTCATAAAAATGTACAAATTTCAATTTAAAAGATTTGTATTTTGATTACTTTAATTTGTGGTATAGTAGATCTGATATCATCTTTTATTCAATTTTAGTGGAAAGACTGAAATTGATATAAAAGCTCTTACAAAACACATATACGATTTCACCAAGGAACATTCTTGCTGCAACACTGATGCATTGCCAGAATTAGTTATAGAAGGATTTGATGAAGAACAGATCTGGCAACAATTAGAATTACAGAATGAAAGCGAAACATTGGATTTAAAATTTAAAACGTCAAACAAGACTTCAAGAATTTTGAGTAGTAAAAAGAAGTTGACTGTTCCATTAAGCTCCATAAAACCTGAAAATGAACCTGTGCAGATTGAAAATGATGATTTTCATGAAGAAAACGAAAGTATGTGCGATGATAAAGAATCAGACAATGAAAATGAAGAGACTAAAACCATTTTGAAAAGAAAACATGAAAAAAAACAAAAATCTGTTGTGGATGACAAATTTTTCAAATTAGAAGAATTGACTGAATATTTGACTAAAGAAGAAAAAAAAGAAAAGCAGGAAGAGGAAGATGATGAATCTGATGAATCTGTGGATTTGTTTAATGATCTTTCTGAGGAAGAAGAAGATAATGTCGAAGGAAAATATATGAAATATGCAGACTTTTTTGATAGTCCTGAAAGTGAAAATGAGCACCTCAATGAAAGTAAAATTTCAAATAAAGACTCAGAAGAAGAAAGATCAGATGATAAAGAAGATATGAGCAATGAGGAAGAGGAAGAAGAGGAGCCACTGAGTAAGAGAGTAAGATTTAATCTTACCAATGATTCAGATGAGACTGACAGTTTGGAGAACAAAGCAAATAAGGAGGAACAGAATGACGATGAAGAATACATGGAAGAAGACGCAGAACCAAAATCTACCTTAGAAGCTCGCCAAGAAAGGCTGAAGATGAAAATCCAAGAGCTGGAACAGGAAATAATGAGTGAAAAGCCATGGCAATTAAAAGGTGAAGTAAGCGGTCTACATAGACCGCAAAATTCTTTGCTAGAAGAGTTTGTGGAGTTTGATATAACCAAACGACCAGCTCCTGTTATAACCGAGGAGACTACAATAAAATTGGAAGACATAATCATGCGACGAATTAAAGATAAGGCCTGGGATGACGTTGAAAAGAAGTTCAAGCCTGTTGAAACTCCATTAGAATACAAGAAAAAACTGATACTTGATCAGGAGAAAAGCAAAGAGAGTTTATCGCAAATTTATGAAAAAGAATATCTGAGACAGAAGAAAGCATCGAATCCGGACAATGAGGACGATGAGAAGAAAGAGGAATCATCACAATTACATAATGAAATTCGACATATGATGCGATCTCTGATATCCAAGCTGGATGCGTTGTCTCATTATCATTATACTCCCAAACTCGTAAGATTTGAGATTTGCATAATATATCAATCATGGTTTTTTTTATAAAAGTGATATTAAAAAATACTAAATTATGTCTTGTAGTTTACTTTTCAGTTTTTTAAAAACTAATTTATATTCAGATAATTGCAATAGATTTTGATGTAATCGATACAATTTTACTTTTAGGCTAAACCTGAAATTAAAATTATTAGCAACGTGCCTGCGATTAATATGGAAGAAGTTGCGCCGGTCGCAACCAGTGATGCCACTTTGTTAGCACCTGAGGAAGTTAAAGGTATTTTATTACGTTGTATTTTAATATGTTGTTATTGCAAGTTTCATTAATACATTGTTTTTTTACGTACTTCGCGTTTTGTAGCCAAACCGCATGGTGATCTTATCGGTAAGTCCGAGAGAACGAAAACCGATATGAAACGTGAAAGAAGAAAGAAAAAATTAAGACAACGAGCAAAACAACAGGCGATAGAAAAGAAAGAAAAATTGAAAACATTGAAGCCAGGAATTTCTAAGAAACTTAAAGATAAGAAAGAGAAGGAAATGTTGCTGAAGAAAGTAACTAAAGACAGAAACGTCACAAAGTTAAACGAGACAACGCATAAAGTCGCAAAATCTTCGACTACGTTCTTTACGCAGCTTCAGGACCAAATAAAGAGTAAAAAAAATACGAAAACTTCTAAAAATAAGGATAAAAAGACAGTTTCGGCTGTAAAACTAAAGTTGTAAATGTTTTTTTATCCGCGTAGATAGTACATATATTTTATACATACTGACTATATATATAAATAAGGTTTAAATAAAGTATTTGTTGGTCTATATTTTTTTTCTATCCTGTTTTTTTGTTTTTTGGAGATTTCATACTTTTATTATTCTCAAACTTCTGTGTTCTTTTGTGCAGTCATCGATTATAAATTGCAAAAAAATATAAGAAGCAGGAATTGTTAAAGAATTTGCGCGCAGAGCAACGTATTCAATACATAATACAAGATACATATGTACACTAAAAGTTTTGTTTCTATAGTTTTATTGCATGATATATGTATGCATTTTCTAATATCCTTCGCTCTTTTTAAATCATTAATTGTTTTATGGTTCTTTTTCTCGTGTGGAACTATATAATATGTAGGTGGATATTGTGCAAAGGAATATGTAACAGTTGAGAGGTAAAAGGATTTGTGAAATAGTTATTTTTTTCTCTGATAGAGACGACGTTCATACTTAACATTCGTGTACAAGTATTGACGCCTGCATCAGGCTCAATGTTAGTTATTGTCAAAAGTGATGTGTACTTGTCTTCGTCACGATATAGGATGACACAAAAAAATCATGCAAGTACGTATATTAGTTTATGTATATTAATGAAAAAATGTTCCCAATTCGTCGTGATATGCTGCAATTTCGTTTAAATGTGCTAATCAAAAATTGGCTAAAACTTGTTCAAACGCGCTAAATCACACGTGGTTATTTATAAATGCAATTATTCGTGTGTAACATTATCTATATTTTTTTCCTTTAAGAATATCTAAAAACGGTGTCTTGCACAGAGAAGCAAAAGTGGATTACACAAGTTTTGTACATTGTCAATATCTCGAACGAGTTCCTTGTCGCGTGTTGACTTATGATTGCACTGTTCATAATTACAAAGATCTAAATTAATATAATTAAGCTAACCTTACGAATCTAACGATAAGCTGGTATTAAAATTACCGTGATTTGTGTAGATTTGATTGAGAATTTGTTTTTAAAAATACTTTTTCTTATGGTTAGAGTACACTTCCGTTATTTTCATCATCTTCTTCTTTTTCTTTGTTAAATATTTATCGAATCGCATGAGATATCTCAATTAAAATTGTCATGTAAATTAATATTACGTCGCTTATCTATGTGACTTGTATAATAAGCACAGATCGGATGTTTACAAAACTATAAAACCCGCAACAAGGCCGTAAACATCCATACATATGGTTACATTATTCTTTAATTTAAAATTCTTTACTTAAATAAATTATAAATTTTCATTGCAATAAGTAAATTTACCATATATTCCTAATCGAGTCTTCAAATTTAACAAAGCACACTTACATTGAAACAGTAATTAATGCATAAAAAATGAAGTACTTCTTATCAGTTACATCTTGTACATCTTTATTTAATTGTGCATTCGTTTAAAACGATATAAAATACTTGTTTTACTTATCTTTAATGCCTTGCGCCAAACATCAAATGCGGGTGGCCCATCTGTGCGTATTATAATTTATTTCGAGCCCTAGTCGATGTGACCGTTTGTTTCGCGATGAAGGTAAAATCGCATTTGATGTCGTAATGGCACTTTCGCATCGAAAACGTCGTTTGTCAATTTGGACAACTACTTCGAACAATTGGGGCATACGATATTGCGATCGTACCTGCGTGTGTCTGATTGACCCATGACAGTAAACCGAATCTTTTGTTATATGTGTATAAGTATGCATAATAATGTGTAAATAATCTGGTAGACTAGGCTCTCCTAATCCCAGTGCGATCGTTTTTTTTCTTGCTTAGAGTCTATATATGCGGTGCTAAATTGGTAAATCGCGTTTTTTTTTTTTTCGTGAGCGATTCTTCGGATGCTGTAGGTGCACATATTGCGACGCCCAGATTTTTATATATATATATATATAACCTCCGAAGAATTTCACTTAAAGTGCAGACATTGCTCGACTTATGAACGTTCATTTGCACGAACTCTGAACACGCTCATGCATATACGCATGATTCAAACGCATATGTACACCGCGTGTAAACAGATTAAGATTAAGTCTGCAAAGTGCATAGTATTGCATAAAATCTGAAGCGATTGCGTTGAGATTAAAGTTGAGCTTATAGAGTTAGATTACTTTGTAAAATGAAAAAATTTGTTTAAAAGGCATTCCGTATAAGAAACATGATTACTATTTACTCTTTCCATTCATTGGTTGTATTATTGTTAACAAGCTCCTTACAATGCAAAAAACGACAACAAGACAATTTATTTCAGAGTTTCTAGAAATATTAGTTTTCTTTTTACCGAAAATCAAACCTTGGATCTTTGAATTGCTAAATGTAGTCTAAATTCTTTTGATTACGTAAACTGGTTTTTTTTTCAGCTTACATAAGAACGTATTATTCTTATCGTAAGTCGAGCAACGTCTGTAAAAGCTGCTCCCCAAAGGCGTGTCGAGTAACAACTGTTTCGTTGCTACTCGAAATTTGTATTAAACATGTTTAGCTCTTCGAAGCCGGACGAACCGCCTTGGTCCTGCAGCATCTGCAACATGTCAGATAGCTCTTGCGGCTGCGTACCAGGCCCGGCTTGTCCAGGGTGCGGTGGTTGTGCGGCGACTTGAGCGTTAGTTTGCCCGTCTGGCTGTGGCGTCTGATGCTGTTGCTGCCAACCCCACATACCTAGTAAAAAGAACAAAACCATTTTGATCGTATGCAATTTCGCGCAATGAAAAGTTTTGTAAATATGATAAGACAAAATATGTATGTTGGAAAATTTACCAGGATTATTAGGCACTGTTGTGACTGCATGGTATTGCTGCGTAGCCGGTGTCCTAGCGCCGCTACTTAACTGCGTATAAGTTGGTCCGCTCGGTGATCTCGACGGACTTAATTGACTATACTGATAGCCTTCTGTTACTGGTTGCTGTTGCAAAAAAAAAAAAAAAACAAACATTTCATTGTCAGATACACTTGTATCTCTAATCTTTCTAAAATTAAAAAAATTAAATACCTGTCTTCCAATTGCCCACGCTTGCGGTGTTGGAGATGTATTGGCCGGCTTTTGGATTCTACTTAAAACCGACGAGGATGCGCTCTGCTGCCCAGGTGATCCATAAGCTATTGGCGACTGCGTCGTCTCATAGCTTTGATACACATTCTGTGTACTGGACGGCCTAGGTTGTTGCGGACCTGTAAACAACATTTGCTCAACATCTGATTGTGCAAATAAATGTAATAGGAAAAAATATGGTGCTCGTCTTACTAGCTGTAGCCACGGTCGCCGGATGCTGCATCATATGATGTGCAGAATATAACGGATCCCTGGCTGGATGTCTTTGGAGAGAATAATCTAAACCAGGTTGACCATACGCAGGTACAGTTTCGTTCTCCGTTTGACCGTCGCTACTTGGATGAAACGATCTGGACACAAAAGTAGTTTTTATACAAAAACAATATATAAATTTCACATATAAATATCTTGCAAATACATAAACATGATATAACTTCGATCTTACTTGGCGTGTGTATTTGTGCAGACAATGTATTCGACGTCTTCGTTGAATGGATTTAAAAACGCGAATGCAGATGTCCTCAACCACACCCAGTCGCGATTTTTACCCCGAAATCTGTACATCACAGACACGACTTGTCCTTTTAGCTTTAATACTGAAAAACAAACCATGTGTTGTTAATACTTTGAGACAGAGGGAATAGAGAAAAAGCTTTTAAAACTTTCTAAAAAAAATACTCGTAAATAAAATTAATTACCTTGTTCAAAGCTCTCTCGCATGTGTGTCAGATCTTCTGGATGAAAAAATTCGTAACAAGGATGGCCTAAGAGTTCTGATGGAGTGTAACCCAAGATTCCACCAACTCTTTGATCCACGAAGGTAAATTTACCTTCCGCAGAGTGACGAGATATGAATTCTGCATAACCAGAAGCGTAACAATAAATTTCAGCTCAAAATTATATTATGATAAAATACTTTTATAAAAAACTGAGATATCATATGTATTAAAGTTTTCAAGTGCTCACCGCTATTGCTATTTGAACCCGCTAAGTCGCTACTATTTGGTGTGCTAGTAACTTGTAATCGCCCAATAGCGACAAGGCAGCAATGCGTGGAAGCATTCTCGTCTGTGACCACACCGTCTGGACCAGTTTGAACGCCACCTCTGTCACCTAGACCCACACCTGGTACACATGGGGGAACAAAATCACCTACAGTGTAAAATCATGAATCAGTCCATGATTTCCCATTGATCGGCTTGAAAATGTTTTACGTACTACTGTGCATACACAGAAATTTTAATACATATATATAATATTGATACTCTGTGTAATACCAATATATTGCATTAATATATATGTACATATAATTTTTTTTTTTTTTTTTTTCAGTATAAAATATTTGAAGATTACAAAAAATTGACTTATTGCACTTCAGTTATACTGTATGTGCGAAAAGCGTCACTGTATTTTTTAACGTAATCGATAAGATTGAATTAACTAGCGGTTGTCACAAAGCTATCGATGGAACAAAAAGAGCTGCGCACGTGGTCATGAATATTAAACAAATATGTTAACAGCCAATAACTGCCTCGCCACAGGTTTTTACTGGTGACAACTTTTCATTCAGCGGTTAAACAGTTATGTTAGCGAGACAAGTATCTTTTTCAACCTTATATGTAATCAATGAACAAAATAAATTTCTTTTTAAATTAATTCTTTGTTATTTGTAAAAATGACATAGAATATATTAAAAATAATTTAAAATTTGTTTCTATAATCGCGTAACCAAAAGCAAATGTAATAGAAAGAACGTGATTAATACGTGAAATCGATACATGATTAATACGTGAAAGATTCATCCACGGAAATTGAAAAAGTGTCTCTTAATTTACAGTACACACGTAGCATACGCGTTCCAGGAACGGTTCGTTCGTATTCCTCGAGCGCGACGTCTCCCCCGCTTTAAAATAGAAAGCCAGTACTACTAGCCGTATGTGTCGCCGTGCCCGAGAGAGAAAGAGACCGTTACCGGCGACGATAATGGTGATCGTCGTCGACGTACGTTCTCTAGTTCAGCTCAGTGCACATTCTGAAATCTTTATCAAACTCACCGGTAGTTGGCGGCCAATTCTTGATGTATCCGGTGCAGTGCACTACCGCGTAATTCTGGCCGTCCCGGCCTGGTGGACCCAGAGAGTTCCTCTGCTTCATGCGATGTAAACCATGAGCCGCTGCCATGTCACCCGTCGTTTGTAGGTTGCCGACCTTCATGCGACAGATGAAACCCCTTCTCGAGCCCATGCACAATCGCATAGACGCTGCAATTAAAGACAGAGAACTTTGGAGAATCTGTTTCTTTAAGAAATAGATTATGTTCGAACGTTTTGGTTTTGTTATAGATGTAAAGAAAAACTATATACGATAGTACAATATAATATTGATACATATAATTTTACACTACTTACACTGTCCTTCCTTCTTCACAGTTCCAGTTTTAAGATCTAACACCCGACCACCGTGTTGCGGCTCCGCAGCGCTAAGCTGCTCCCGCACCTTCTCGGTGTCGTCGGGATGCACTTGCGAGTAGAGGCTCGTACCGTACCAGTCGCTCTGCGTATAGTTCAACACAGGCGCGACAGAATCGGAGACGTAGATGATTCTGCCTGTGTCGCAACTGACGACGAACAGAAATCCGTCGGCAGCTTCAAGGATCAAATGCTTCAGTTCTTGATCCGTAAGGAAGGACGGCTTGTAAGCGTTGTCCGTCGCGGTATTTCCGGTACCTGCAATACAATTTCAGACGTTATTTATCGTGGAACAGCAAAAGAAGATAAAATATATGTAAATAGTTATCAAAAATGTCAAAAAGCGTAATTCTTGTAAAGTATCCTACGGATTCCTAAGCAAGTCGTGTCCTATCAAATATTAAAATCGAAGAACGCTCCTCGATAGCAAAGCGAAGTTGTCTTTCGAGATTGACCTCAGGACAAGACGCGAAGATCAGCGACGCTATAATGCGGCACCAAAAATGAGGACGAGGCACCTCGCCAGCGGAGGTAACTATCGAGGTGCAAGATCGGAATTGCAAAGCGGACGGCGGATCCCGAGAAAGAAATGGACAGGTAAGAGTGGAAGAGAGAGAGAGAGAGAAAAAAACCGACTCTCTCGCGCCGCGATGCGATCTTTCCCCTGATATACGGAGAAATTCCGAGAAGAGGTACTTTAACGACTTCCAAACAAGATCTATGGAAGACCCCTGGTGACCTTCGTTACCATTACTTTCCTCGTAGTGTACATCTGCCGGTTCGATGTAACAACGGCGCTTTCCAGCGGAAAAAGCTAATGCACAGTTATCGTTAACGAGATGATTTTTATCGCTTATTAAGTGTCCGTTCTTAATCAGTTTTATAAAAACGAATATATTTCTATCATCGCGATGTTTCGAAATACACGTACAACTTTACATTACAATTTGAGTGATATTTCGAGATACATTCTGACGCACGACCTAGCATTAAACAATACCGTCATCAACAGCGTATCGAGTATTCTCTTGTCATGAATATTCCCGATATATCGTCCAAGTCAATCAATAACTGGAAACTGCGCTGCCAAATGAGAAGTGTCCGTTTTCTTTGTTACGTAATAGCGCGCAAACAACGGTCGAAAATAACATTCCCTTTACCGCATCTTAGCGAAGCAACATTTCTCTCTGTGCGGTGTTTAGAAACATAAAAAAAAAAAATCGACGTTCTTGCGACAGAATGGCGTCGTCTTTCATCGACGCTGACCGAACGGTTCTTCGGCCCCTCCTGACAATTTTTATCGCGTTCTTCCTCGTGATCGTAAAATATCCGTCGATGCTCGAGTACTGACGTGTGTATACGTATGCGTACATACGTCTCTCGTCTCGCAAGCGCATATAATACTCTTCCACATAGCGCACGCACGGGATGTTCGCGCGTGTAAACGAGCCTCCTCCGTCCTCACCTCTCTTCGCAGGTGAGAGAAGCGAGAGAGAGAGAGAGAGAGAATGAGAGATTCTCCTCTCTTCTTCCGAGCGATTTGTATGCAGCGGCCCTCGTCGCCGGGAAAGAGGAGAAGCGGCTATAAACAACGCGACGCACCACCAATACCTAGGTGGAATCACGGCAGAAGCGCACGCATATACACGCGCGCGAGCGCCACGCACAATACACAGCACGCGGCCTCTCTCTCTCTCGGGCACAGGTAGGTGTACGGGGTTATACCCGGCAAAACTACCAAAGGGACAGCCGCCCCGGGACACACACAACTCCGCCCAACCTGCCCACCGGAAACATATCGCGCGTTTACTGCATTCGATATGACCGCCACCGGCTCTCGCCGAAACCCATCGTTCCGGTGCATCTCTCTTTCCTCTCTCTATCCCGCAACAAGAGAGAAAGAGAGAGATGAAGGATTTCTCGTTTAATAATGTTTATCCTGAATGAAAATTTGTACTTCGTCTTTTTTCCTCTTACGCGCAAACTTTGGCCTAAATTTTTCGTCAAACGGTTTTACGATTTTTAAGAGAAAATATTGATTTTTCTTTTGGCGCTTTAAGAGTTTATTCTAATAATGTGTCTTGCAACCAAACATTTTTTTATTTTACATAAAATATACATAATGTTTTTTTTTTTTTTTTTTTTCGTGCGATATCGATTTGTTCATCCTCGATCTAACAAGGAAGTCGCGAGAATGTCGACGATGTAAACGTTCCAAAGCGCGCTCATAAATTCTCGCCTCTCTAGTCAAGACGGAAATCTAACGTTCTCGCGCGTCGACCCACGAGGGACTTGAGCGTGTTTTCCGCGTAATCGATAGTCGCAGGTACGTAACGTAACGTAACGTATGGCGGGTTGACTATGGCCGTAATTTAATCGCGTTCATGCTCCGAGATCTCGCGTTGCGCTCAAGTTATTGCGCCGCTCGTGCCGGCAAACTTAAACATCGCTGCAACTTAATCGTCACGTCTTGCGTCGAAAAACTGCACAGCTCCTTATCGATGGCATCCGAAGAAAGAGAGAGAAAAACAGAGAAATTTGTTTTTTTTAACTCCGAGCTGAAGTTCTTCAAAATGAACAACTATAACTGCGAGTAAAACTCGATAGAGAAAAAATATAACTAATAAGTAAAACTAAGTAACCAAATAAGTGAGATGTAACAAGAAAAGAGTTTTCTTCTAAAAACACACACAAAACACAAAAATTGTAATTGAATAATTTTCTTTTTTATTTACGAGTTACTCACCTCTGAGAGCTTTCATATGCGCCACTGCCATTCTCAAGATCGTGAGCTTGTCAGGTTTCCGAGCCAGAGCTGAACAGGTCGGTACCATATCGGAAAGCTCGGTGATGTAGGCCGTCATCTTGTTCCGGCGCCGGCGTTCTATCTCACAATGATTCTCCCTACAGTAAGTTGGAAGACAAAACCAAGGTAATTGCATAGTTCGAGGAAGCGGTGCGCGGTTTCTCCTACTATGGCTAAAAAAACGGCGCGAACAACCGACGGTCAACGGCGGAACAGCCGGAGAGACAAGAGTTTCTTCTGCGCGTCCTGCGTGAGGAAATAGCGTGAAATAACGTTCGCGCGATACGGTATTCAATTTATGAATACCGTATTGAAACACCGTATTGAATTGCGCTTCTTGTGCTCGTACACAATCGCGAATTTTTCTTTGCGTCGAAGTACATGTTTATTTATATATATTCGATCGCATCTCTCTTGTGTATATTTTTATCATTTGATAAAATTTTTCGTGTATTTACCATCGCGTTGCAATTAGAAGAGTTCGCACAAGGTATACTAACTGGAATTAACTCAGTTATGTTGGCGTCGTCGGCGCCATGATCGATTCGGTCGATAAATTCTCGAGTAGTCCATCTAATCGGGGGAGGATATCGGGGCGAGACCACAATTTCAGGCCTCCCCTGTTATTACGCTACCAGAGGGTAACCGCCGCGAATAACGGTGATGCACGTCTCCCTTCGTTTCAACGGCGAGCTGCGTAATCGTCGGCGCGCAAATCGTAAATTTAATGGCATTTAATTCGCGACAATTTTCCAGGAAACTTCACGAAGAAGGCAAACCCCGCGCACGCAACACGTAAGTCCGGATTCTCCGATGCGCAAATCCGAGCGCCGGTTAATTCGTTATTCGACGCTACACATTCCGTTCGCGAAATCGCTCGTTTCGATCAACTGCGCGTAAGCCGAGCTTAACTCGCGATTTACGATCGATTATCTCCAACTTTATTCTAAGGCGCTGATACGAAATAAAAAGTATACTAACAGGGGTAGAAACAATTTACTTCTCTCGGAACTTTATTTTCTTTTCATTCTGTAACGTAAGGGAGATATAATTAAGAAAAAAGCACTACTTAATGAAATTATTGTAATAATTAGTGAAGCCGGGCAATTTGATTGCGCTATTTATTTTCTGAAAGAATCTCCGCTCCGAAATGTAGACGAAAGAAAAAAATCGGTATCATATTCGCGGAATGATAAAAAATTTGTTCAGTTCGCGAAATGGGTAGTTTCACGATCGGACCGACATCGAAACCACGCCTGAACACACAAGGCGAGATTAAAATTTGATATCGATTGGTTACGCTAACTTTTTTTTAGTGTCTCGTCGCGACTCGATAGCCGCGCGATGTGTGGAATATCGAAAAATAAAAAATTGATCTGTTCGATGAGACATCGCTGTCTGTGCGAATGAAATCTATGCGAAATATATCGTTGTCGCAGCGCGTTCATATATATATCTGAAAGTTAATTCCCAATCTGATATCAAAATGACAGTTAAATGAAGAAACAAAACCGTCATGATACGAGTGAATGCCGATCGCGTGTCGCATCGGTTCTTATTGTACGTATATACGATTTGGTGTAATTTTTGTTGTGTATATACTGCGCAGGCGGTCGTTATTATCATTATTATTATCTCGTACCGAGAAGGGAATCTGTAACGCTCGACGATGTCGTGGATAGCCCCGGCTCCGACCAGAGGCCCGCTATTTAAAAGAGGCCACGGCGCTTAAAGCGCAAGTATAAAGCAGAGTATGCACCGCGCGGCGCAACAAGGGAGAGAGAAAGAGACAGAGAGAGAGAGAGAGAGAGAGAGAGAGAGACAAGAGGAGAGGAGAGGAGCGACGGGATCGAGAAACGCGATCTGTAGGGAGGAAAGGACGGAGAGAGAACTCCTGGGTCAGAGGTCAGACGCTCCGAAGTTGCCCGCTCGCTCCGTGGGTCCAGCTCCGGTGTACCGGAGCATACCGGGTGTCTCGATACTTCTACAGATCTGCTCTTTTCTATGCAAGTCGCGATACAACTTTTACTGTATTTTATTGTTTCAGTTTTTGACTGATTAATTTAAACTTCATCTTACATAGTTGTAAAAGTAAGTTAAAACGCCACTGTTTTTATTCGAATATTTTAATGTGAATTTGCATTTCTACTGTAAAAACAAATATGAGTATTTTTCATCATGAGTATAAAAAAAGAGAAAACGGCAACGTTCTAATAGTTTTTAATTGGCAAAAATAATGATTTACCGAGAATCCTCAATACGGCGCAGCATTTACACGCTATTTGATAGCACAGGGGTCGTCGGATGTTGCGGGAGACGACACGATAAAAATGCCTGACCCCTAGGCCGGAGGTCGACTCTGACCCCGTGACACCGGTCACGTTACTTGAAAAAGAGGATACTAGTTGAAGGTTGGGGTAATAGATCCTCTTTTATATCCATCGTAAATGCATTTTAAGTCATAAAGTGCGTTCACAAGAACCTTAAGATAAGACGAAAATGTAATGTTGGATACGCGCGATTTATTTCATGAAATTCGTGCTGATTAATCGGTCTTCGTTATTGTTCAGATATCGTCGTTTTGTGCGATTACACAACAATCTGATATTAGTGCGATATATTTTACGTCTGTTTGTAAGATTGTCCACGGACATTTTCCCTTTATCTATATATCGCGTATTCGACATTCTCGAAGCTTATACGCGCATGAATTTATTGACTTGTGAAACGCGAAGTTGTACGCCCAGAGATCTCGCCGTTACTCAATCGTACAATTTATCGTTACGATTCGCTTCTCACGAATGCACGCGCGGCCGCATCGATGTGCATGAAATTAAAGAATTGACGAGTAAATAACGCATTTGCTGCGCCCTTGCACGAAAATGAAAGATGATAATAGAGAAGTGAACGAACGATAAACAAACGCAAATTATACATGTACGTTTATATTATCATGATTAATGAAACGTTTAAAAAAAAAAAAAAAAAAAAAGTAAATGTCAGCGCTGCGTTATGTGTAATTGAGAAAAATGATAACATTTGTTTTTCTTCGCGTCTTTTTTCCTTCCAACTTATATTTTGCTATTTTCATTCTACGCTGATACTTTTCTCGTTACGCGTTTACAGATTATACACAGAGCAAAATTTAAACTCCGCAAATCACGAAGGAAATGGTCCAAAAGAAAAGAGCGTTCCAGTTAATTTTTGTTTTCTTACGTTCACCGCTCTGCAGCTTATTACGCCCGAGAAGAGGCCTTCTAATTAATTGGCCTATGAGAGCAATCTGCGCGACGATCTGCGTCATGCGCTCTCTTTACCAAGGTACCTTCCTTTATACGGCGTTTAAGGCACGTGCTTTTCACTTCGGTGCGAGATAATCTCTCCTCCCGCGTTTAAAGCCTCTTAACAACACGACTCTGACTTCCGCGAGTAACATCTTCCTGCAAACTTTTGCCAATTGCGTCATAATCGTTTGCCACGTCCGATTACGTTCTATAGAAGAGAGACTTCGTTGCACGTTTGATCATCTCGAAGAAAATTACTTTTGAGAAAGATTGTACGCAGACAGAAAAGAAATTTTATCAAGAATGTTGTGAGATTTCTAAACAATGTCGTGCATTCAATTGAAAAAGAATTGGGACAAGAAACAGGAAAGTAAATATAAAATATGGAGAAACTGTCTTGGAAGAGAGTTGTGTGACACACGAGACCGCAATAAATCCATGTACGGTCATCGTTTATAACGCGTGTATGTGTTCCGGCGAATGTTGCGCTTTTGCGATTACTCGTTCACGGTAGTAAATACGTTCCGTGGAAATTTATGGCACGACAAGCTGCCGTTTCACACGCGCGAGATTATAACGTCTTCGTTTAGGGATGATTTAAGCAACGCTCGGCAACGCGTCCGCGTCGTGGACGTTGCGCGTCGTTAGCACTCGCCGCGTCTGAAGAGGAAACTCGAGAAGTGAAGAAGATCGTTCGTACGCGGTTTTGCAAGTTTTTCTTTCGTAATCAACACGTACTGCACCTTACTCGCTCTTAATTAACTCTCTATGACGCGCAATCTTGTTTTTATTCCACTATTGAAAACTAATTTTCATTTAAAATTTTTCCAAGGATTCCAAGCTGAAACGAGAAAAGAAACGTTTCTCTTGAAGTTCATTTGTGTATGAGTTTGAATGAAAACAATTTGCTCTAAGTGGAGTACAATGCGTCGTATGTTTCAAAGATACAAGAAGTCTAATTCCTAAAATTCCCTGAGGAAGAATCGCGAAGGAGTGCTATCGCAGAAAAATATGAAAGAAAAGTGGACGTTCTACTCCCGGCTGTTTCGCAACGCCGCAAAAGCCGGTAATGCAAGGCGCGGGATAGGAAACTATGCATCTGGAAAAGCTGAGATGACAGAGGTGAAAAAGAGAGGAAAATGAGAAGAAAAACAGTGAGGGAGAAGAGATACGCGACGAGGAGAGATGCGCGTCTTGCGGCAAGAGGCAGTAATTGCGTTATTAACTTAAAAGTGAGGTTCTTCGTAGAGAGAAAGAAAGAGAGAGAGCGAGAATTGAGAGACGGCAGGCGAAAGGAAGGCATAGAAAAGACGGAAAAGAGAGAAAAGGAAAGAGAGAGAGAGAGGGGGGGAGGGAGAGTGCGACATCAGAAAGTTGCTGGTGGGTCTTTGCCGTCTGCGTATTTTTTCGCGGCACCGTGTATACCTGCAAAACGACAGTGCGGATACGGAATTGCAGGTGAACCACCACGGGATTCACCCGTGGCGGCACGCGATGAGAGACCATGGATAAGATATCGTTGGTGCTATTACGGCGGATCGACAGTCGGCCTTCAAATTGGACGTGCGACGTTAAAAAGTAACCAAGTATCTTATTTGACGAAATAATCGATTTCACTACGAGAATTTCTTGATTTGGAATTGAATAAAATTCAGAAATAATAGTCAACTGAATTAATTTTTTTATCTGCGGTTTATTTCTGCGTCAATTTTATTACATAAATTTCGCAATGTAAATTTGCGAAGATTTACGTGATCAATGTAAATTCGACACGGCTTTGCACGGCTCTATCTTCATGCTTGCCTTTCGTATGTTACCTATCGGCTTCGCACCCTGATTATATCAGGTAGGAAAGCACCCGCTTAATAGAGACGTAACGCCATACACAGTCACGTTACACAAAGCAGGAGGCTGAGTCACGACCGACCAGTGTTACGCGATGGACTTTTGAATCTTTTTTCGTTTTTCGATTATTGACAAGTCAATCGAGATCAAATCGATTGCGAAGTAAAATGTAACGCTAAGACGTCAGGTGTAATATTAAAAACAAGTTTTTATCTATTAAAAAAACTAACTCCTACCTGTGGTTAAGAAAAAACACTACATCGGAGAGAATCTACGTGAAAGAATGCGCAATTTTCGTTCTTATATCTCTTGGCACAATTATACACACCGAGACATAAAATCTTTTTTCGAGAATTTTGATGTGGATTTTTATTCACGGTATTCGGAGAGCGGCCATATTTTATATGTAAGTTATGCGTCTCACGTTGTACATTATTTTCCGGCTTTTGTCCGGCGAATTTAATGCCGAAATATCTCGAAAGGGAATCAAAGTACCCGTGTCTCTGTCGTTGTGCACGGACTTGAAGGACGCGCGCTCCGGCACTCGCGCGTATAAGTACCTTATGTTCCCACGCTGGAGCAGCCTCGAGGGCTTCCCATTCCGCTATCGGCTCCTCACATTGCCCGGTATCATGTAGGTATGTATGTACGTACCTCTTCTCGTATATTCTTGAGAAGAAGGCGCATGTACAGGGTGTACCATATTGTAAGATACGGTGAGACATATTGTCTCTCGATTTCGTGAACCGAATTAACAATATCGAGGAGGAGAGACGGGAATTTCGAGGGGAAAAGAGAGAAAAGTAGTTCGTGTTTCTCTCTAAGGTGACTTTCGCAAATGTTTCACTATCGTAAATCGGAATTGGTTTCAAAATAGAGAGAGAGTGAGCGAAGTATTATAATGTGCGGAGAAATCGCAATGTAAATAAAAAAAAAAAAAAAATACTACGTCTGTGTGTAATATGGCAAGTTAAGCCTGATGCTCACCTCGCAAACCTCTCTTTGTCCTGCACATTGTCATCATCCAGTCTCCTGTATTTGCAGCCACTCGGATCATCCTCGTCGGATCTGCAAAATAAATCAGAAATTAATCAAGCGCAATCTTTATTTGCCGTATATGTTATAAACGTTGATTATTTTCACAGTCAATTTGTTTCACACAATGTCGTTCGATATTAGGTTTTTATTATATTTCAATTTCTCCTAAGATAATAATCAGTGATATTGTTATCAAAGTTTAATGATATGTGTTTTTCTATCGTCTAATCAAGACTAATGACTAGGATAAGCAAGTTTCGAAAGGAACAAATACTTAAAATTCCGCGCGCGTCGTATCATCGATACATAAAGTGTAATCGCTTCCGGACTACCAAACCTGATCGTAGGGTCCAAAATTGGCCACTGTAAAATCGTCGCCAACTTCGTCCCAAATCTGGAATGGCATAACAATAAATAACAGAAAAAGAGAGAGACAAAGTTGTACTAGTATACGATATTTACGATTATCGCGCCGGTGTCAATAATTAATCACATAAAAATCGTTGCAAGAAGAGCATGTAGAGACTCGAGAGAAAGAGAGAGAGAGAGAAACGAGAAAGATAACATCGTAAATCCGTCACCGATCGTCTCATTACCGGCATAGGAGAACGGTGTACATGTACCATCCTTTCTACCGAACGCGAGCAGGATCGAAAATTATGCTCTCATTGCGAGAGCAGAGTTGCGTTTGCACAAAAATCTGGCCGATCGTCAGTCTATATTGCACAGTGCTCGCGCAAGTGATGTACGATTCTGACCCTGAACGAAAAAGTAAGACCCTCTTACCCTCTCTCTCACACTGTTTCTCCGCTATACGTCCCTCTATCTCCGCTTGCCGGTAAACGTCGCGTCGAAGAAGCAGCGCTCTCTTTCTCTTTTCTGTTCTTTCTCTCTCTTGGTCTCTTCCCGTCTCACCGCTGCGGGGCCCGTAGGACCCGACAGATCAGAGGTGGGGGTGGTATAGGACCCGAGAGCGAGTGTATCCGGGTACATCGCGCGGTCAGAGGAAGAGGGCAAGGCCCCTCTTATCCTCTCGTCCCCCTTATCGTCATCTTTCTGCGCGGGAACCTCTTCGGCTCCCTTCGTCTCCGTGTTCTCCGCGTTTCTTTTTTCCTGCTCTTCTTCCTCCTCGAAAGAACGAGACAAGCTTCGGAAAGAAAGGAAGAAAGAGAAAGAGAAAGGGGGGGAGGGAAGGGGGAGGGAAACGGAGAAACTCATGGAGTACATAATGATGCGCCCCGCGGTATTACGACGATTTAACGGATGCGTATGCGTGCTTCGCAAGCGACGAGGAGACGACGTCGGGAAGATGTCTTCGTGACAGACAGGACAAAACTAAGCTCGAAGTTTGAGATAGAATCTCGTGGCAATTGATTCTAAATCTTTACTACGCGCATAAAAGCTAAAATTACAATTTTTTAATTTAAGATATTGATACATATTTGTTATTGTTCTTAAAATATATAATTTGATTTCATTCGCTAATACTAAACTTCTTAACGCACGTCATACAAATTCAAAAATATGAGACAATAAATTCCGATCTTTGTCTTTCTGGCTCGAGGAAAGTGTCCGAAGGATATCGTTGTGGTTGACCAATATGAAGTGAAAATTATGGGGAAAAGGACAGCTGCGGGCGAGAGAGAGATAAATGTGTGACAGGGAGATGTATGGTGCGCATAATGATGCGCAGCGCGGTATTACGTTGACTTAATAGGCGTTTCGCAAATAGAAACCTTGCGCGGCAAACTTATTAGCGGCTGTGTACGCGGATCGAGATTTATCTATTAAGACGATGCAGTAACGAGAACCGTCCAAGCTTCACAAAAAAAAAATAAAACGTTTAAACAATGTGTGCCTGATTGCACAAATAGTTGAAAATGAATTGCTTCAATCATGCAACTTTTGCTGCAATTTCTTACTTAACACAAAAAAAAAAAAGAAGTTCACAAATAGATTCAAAAAATGTTGAAAATTATAGATTGGTAGTTTGTAAAGAAATTTGAAATCGGATCCTATATAAGATATGCGATTTCGAAGCTGCTCTGCCATTACGGTAGTTTGACCTCTGACAGGGAACGATTTGAGCAGGCGAGCCCGAAATTTCGGCAGCGCCAATGAAGGACCAAACAGGTAGTCAAAAGACTACAAAATTATGCATTCTGCCACGAAGATTTCGCAAAGTACTCATTTATTTAATATATCATTTTTCGAAGAATAGTATAACAAAATTTTTCAAGACATATTTTGTTATAAATTTAATCTAAAAATCTCTCGGAAGATGATATATCTAAGAAACGGAAGAGGAAGATCAACAGGAGACTGAAGGGAAAATCTTCGCGACGCGAGTGCGCAATGCATCCTGATCGATCGCGAGCCGTGGAAAATCGTCGCGGTGATCGGCAACAACGAGGGTCGGCAGAGCGATCGAGGAGGTGGTGACCAATAAGGTCGCTGGAGAACGGATAAGAGTCGCCGAGTCGAACAGCGATGGACCGCCCCTTGTTGCGGCGGTCGGAGCCCGCCAATGGCCACGCTCTTTCCCCTTAATATGCGAAGCCTGGCATTACCGTTCTCGTAATGAAAAAAATTACGTCACTCTCTGCCGCTTAAGCGTCAGATAGCCGATCGGCGCTAATATAAAGAGACGCACCGTTCAGCAGACGTTTGTCCAGTTGAGGAGGTGATCTGAATATATTTAAAGACACGATATCGCGTTGATCTCGGAAAAATATGCGTTGTTTTGCTTTTCGTGGCAATTCGTACACACGTGCCACTATATGCATAGAAATACATACAATGACTTAATGACGCAAATACCGTGTTATTGTGGATTTTTGATATTAAACAGTTTATTCGCTGAAGTTTATAATCAACAACTATCATCGGCAGATATCGAGATTTACTCGATTTTGCTACACAGATCGAACGGAACGAATCGGAAACTTGACCGTTTTCACGCCTGAAAAAATTCTTATTGTCCAGGGCGGGTTGGTTCGCTTGGAGCGGAAAGTCACGCGAATCGACGCACAAGGAAGAGGAAACGAGAAATCGACTTAATTGCGAAACGCCGTTTGATACTTTTTTATGCATACAACAAAGTGCAGCGCACAATCTACTGTTCATCATCAGGATAAATATATACAAAGGAAGGAAATACAAAAGGAAGAAGTAAAATTCTACATCCTCTCTTTTCCTTTAGAATAATTTTACTCTCCATATTTTTTATTATATCTGCATAAAAAATAATATTAAAGAACTTTCTTTATTACAAAAACTTTAAGAATTACGCAAAACTATAAGAATAGTTGACGTAAAAAATATTGACTAATTCATATCGCAAACTGTCCGATGCAAAAAAAGAAAACTGAAGAAAAGAATTCTGGAATGCCGGTAGTTGTATTTTTTTTTCCAGCAAAAGTCCGCCATTCAATAGTTTCTCTTATGCGCGCGTGGTGAACGCGCGTCCAGATGCGCATGTCGATCGTGTATGACATAAATATGCATCGTGGACTGCTCCGCGCGTACGGAGCGTTACTAACAGGGTCTTAATTATGAATGAAAATAATACGCGCTTCAATCTCAAAACACACTTTTCTCGGCGTCAAGCCATCCGGTTCAACGACTTCTACCTGTTGTGTGGAAGAAGTGTTCTGTGCCTATATGCGGAAGAGGATACCGCGCGAGTATGGAAACGGATATAATATCGATAATACGAGCGTGATAATACTGAGCAATTTGTATGTCCTTTTTTTTACATGCCGATATCTAACGCAACTTCTTTTTATATATCAATTTACGTTTTTCTATAAAATTATTTTTATCGTGTTTGCCGCGGCTTTTCAAATGGCTTCGCACACTTATAGACGAACGCGCGTCTTCTCCGAGATACATATGCGGCGGAATCCGTTTACTTATACGAAATTCGTCAAGAAAGACGCCAAGAATTCGCGAACCAAATCGATTCAACATAACTGCGCAACATAATGATCTGATAATCGGTCACGTGGATTTGTGTCGAACCGGATCGGCCGCAAATCTCCGCTACGTGACGAATTCCGCGACGAGTGGGTTTTGTCGTGCGTTGCACTTGCACGTGTGCGCGCAACTCGCCTGCACAGCGCGCTAAGCTTCTCGCATTAGTTTGCGCGCGATTCTGCAATCGACGCAGTTTGTTTGCCTCGTGGTGGCGAACGGTGCGTCGCGCCTCGCACCTCGTGCACGTGGACGAGCAAATTGAACGCACGGCAGCGCCGCGTAATACCTCATTAGCGTTCGAGGAAGTAAGGCAGCGAAGGCTTTATTTTGTTTTTATTTTTATTTTTTTTTTTAATTTATCCTTGCAACATCCAATCTCTCGCTATAGCGGTAGATTGCACATAAATTGTTAATGAATTATTATGTTATATTTATATCTCGATTTTTAGCCGAATTTTTCATTCATGTGTGATTTGTAAATAATGTTATCTAAAAATTTCCAACAACTTGCTCAATCTTCGCGGTTTGAAATTCGCCCGTGCGCGTGATATTGCATGGCGTGCGTGCAAGAATGAACGTATCAAATGCACGCCCCTTCTGCTGTAGCTCGATGTTAATTGCGAGCGGTAATCATTTTAACATACATTCCAATTATGCGAATGCTATTTGGATTACATTTTGCATTGCGAAAACTCCGGTACAATTATTTTCTCGCGAAATGCTTGTACGACTCAACATAGAGAAAACGATGTTTTATTTCAATACAGTTTATCACGACAATCACAGTCGTATATGTATATTCGTCGATAAAATTACTATCTATCTTTCGACATTGTTTGTTAATATGTATTTTTAAATATCTCAGCTTATCGCCCCGCACGTGCCTAGAACTATAATTATGTGTATCCTTCTCGTAATATCGTCTTGCCACGAGTTTTGTTATGCTTCTGAGAGATTATTGTTATCTTTGTTTCGATGACTGTGTCCAAGTATCGCCTCGTCCAAGGCCGCGTGCGAAAAGTTTTTTTTTTTTTTATACAAGATACGAGTGT